ATAGGAAAAACTTTAAATTATGTTTTAAATTATTTTCTCCATTTATTTAAAGATTTTACAAATAGGGAAATGTTAAATTTAATTTCTAGTTTTTGTATAATGAAAATTTTAACTTCTGTTCAGAGTTTCTGCCAACCAAAAATGGTAAACTAAATTACAAATAATGTTTAACATTATGTAAGTTATTTTTTAAGGCAAGGAATTGTGAAATGCCCCATGTGTTGATGGCCTTTATTCTTTCTGAATCTTTGTCACCAAAGAGCATTGTCTTAACTTTATATTGACCCTCTCAGGTTGCATGGCAAAAGCTCTGGGCTCACAATTGGATGATTCCTCTCTTCCTACAGGAGGTGTCATTCTCAAACAATGGTGTCAAATTCAAAGTACTGTACCTACTACCCATCTGTACAACTGTAACCATAACACAAACATGCCTTAAGTTGTGTTTCTACAAACAAATAATGCATAATGTATATATAGTTTCCTTGTATGTATATAGCATTATGAAATTTAAAAAATTGTAATTTTTTTCTAAACTAAGTAACAATTACAAAACAAGAAATACAGTCATTAACTGTTCCTTTGAACACTACTGTTCCTTTGAACACCCCCCCTCAACTCTACAACAACTTACTGTAAAATCTCAAAAAAATAGAATTACTTAGAGCTATACTTTTACTTTAAGTATATGAATTTTGAAGCAAAAACATTCAGTATTTATTTGTACAGAAAATCAAAACTGGTAAAAATGAGTGAATTCAAATTATATGACTGTAAACAACTTTTTTTTGAGATGCTTCTACTCAATAATTCAAATTTAAAACTACATATTTGTATTCTTCTGTATCATAGCTACAATTTGTATCTTTTATTATGGATATTGAGTGTGTATTTAAATTAATATTGAAAAATTTGTTGAGACTACTCTAAAAGTGTGACAGCTGACAAATGATCAGTGTGAATGACCTCATTACTCAAAACACTAGGTTAATGACACATCAGTAAAGCTATAATCTGTTATACTTGCTAAATACACATTTTTTCTTCTTGTTTCCTCATTCTCTAACAACTCTGTATCCATGACAAAGTCTGCTAAATCTAAATCACTACAAAGTAGAGAAGGAAAAGAAAAAAAAGAAAAAAATATTGTTGCTACTATGGAAATGTATCAGGCTGAGCTAGAACAGCCACTGGACAAGCATCAAGGGCTCTGAAAAATTACTAACATGTTTGAAGGAGTGACAATGAGTACATTAAGAAATAGGGTGGCTGGAAAAAAGTCTATTTTGGAGTTTAGATAGAATGTCAAAGATTATAACCTCAGATGAGACCAGGGAAAAGCTCAGGCAGAGGAAGGAGTTGAAGGATAGAGAGGAGAAGGAGGCCCATGCACAAAAGGATGAGGCTAAAAGGAAGAAGGATGTCAATGATACAATTGAAAGCAAATGGAAACAAATCAAGACACACTATGATGAAGACCTTGCTAAATGGTAAGATAAATGCACCATGTAGAAGGAAGAGGGGCTTCCAAAGGTTTACTAGAGCCCTAGACCATCTAGACCAACAAAGAAACAAGTCCAGGAGTGTCTACTATGAGAGAGGGGCATAGACAGCACTGTATACAAAGAAGTAGTGTCTGGATGAGGTGAATGCAACCCAGACTTGTGTAGATGTGATGAACAAGGCTGGAAGTACACCTAGATCTGTGGATAAAGTCATAGAACAATTGTATGTACAAAATAAAGCAAGAGGAGTGTGCCGAGAGTGAACATAGGAGCACAAGTTGAGAGCATAGGGGTGAGGAGGATGAATGCATGCCAGTGTGACACTGTGTCACAGGGTGTTCAAAGGAGCGGTTTTTGTGACAAATCCTCTCATTTTTACTACATTCATTTTAATTTTTCTACAAATCCTAATGGCCTGAAAAAATTCAGGCATACTCTTATTGCCATTTAATTCCTAATTACAGCTTAATTTGTCCTAATTTTTTGTGTAGAGTAAAATACAATCAAATTTAAAGTTGGTGTTCAAAGGAACAGTTAATGACTGTAGCACATGTATACGCGCACAGCGCGTTTATGTCACGTGTATCCTTACTATTTTCAAATTCCTTCCAATTTCTCTCTGAACATTGATGATAGCGATCACTCATCACCAAACGACCTCGATCTTTGGACTGACGTATTTCTAACGAAACATGGCACCAGAATTTACATTCATAATATCGAAAGTTCCTGCTTATCCGTTAGATGACTTCTCGCTTCCGACCGGAGGTGTCATTCTCAAGTCGTCGGACGGCGTCGAGTTTAAAGTGTACAGGAACATCCTGGCCCTCGCATCACCCTTGTTCCGAGAAATGTTCACACTGCCTCAATCGATAGATACAAATGACACAGGAGAGCTAATGGACGCCAAGGGCGAAAAGCCGACTTCGGACGTACAGGTCGTCGATGTGACAGAAACGAGCAAGACTCTTGACATCCTCTTGCGCATGATCTATCCCACTTCTCCGCCATCATTTCCCGGAGTCACTGATTCAGGCGAAATTGAAGATGCTCTTGAGTTGGTTAAAGGTATAGAGCCCGTTTTGGCAGCGGCACTGAAATACGATATGCAACTCATTGTCAAGGACCTCTGCGCAAAACTTATCAGGGCCGCAGATACAACCCTTCCGGATGGAAGAGTCGTGGACGATACACTCGCTCTTCGGGTTTTCGTAATAGCCTGTAAACATGGACTGAGGGAGGAAGCACGTCTTGCTGCCCATGCATCTTTGAAAGGAAGTGTTATAGGCACATTCATCAAGGAACTTCGCGAAATCAATGCAGCACAATATTTCCATCTACTCCTCTTCCATCAGAAAACAGTTGCATCCGCGGAATCAGCCCTTATGTCGTCGTATTCTTCATACTGTCATTCAGGCGCGCGAGACTCTCTTATTGCAAGTGTGCGACCCATCCTGCAGAAATCGCCTAGGTCTGGCCAAGTGTCTCTGCCTTCCTTTCTCGGATCAGTGCCGGTCAATTACGGCTATTGCTGTACAAGTAATGCAAACTTGCATATGCAGCACGTCAGAGAGTCAATAGACAAAGCAATTGTGGCAGTACGTTTATATTAAACTGTATATTGCCCTGTCCTAACAGTGTACGTTAGAATGATATTGATGTTAGTGAAATTTGAATGAAGACATATCTGTCATAACAATGTAAGTCTTTTCCATATATTTTTACATTAAGTATTGCCTACTTGAGTTTCAGCTCATTAGACTACTTAAACGGAATCTGCTGTAAATCCAGCATTCTACACGCAATAGTTGAAGCACAGTCCTGACAAAATTTTGAAATACAAAATAATTATTTGACAGAAAATCTTTGACTGAATAAGACGTTGTAGAAGATGAGATGTGAGAATATTAATGTTCCTCAGCTAATAACTAACAAGATTAGTCATGTGCAGTTTGTGACTGACTGCCATCTACTAACCTCAACTGGATACAGATGCATGCATTGATACTTTTCATTTAGCATGTTATATTAGGAAATCAAAGCTATTTTTTGACTAGAGAATGATTTTGCTTAAATAAATGTAAACGGGCCGTAACGAGCCTAACGCAGGCGGTGCTAAGGACGGGAGCGGTATGTAGCCTGCAGGCGCTATCTTGCACAAGTCTGATCGGGAGCGGGAGACAGGAGTCGGGACTGAGGTAGCTTGCAGCGGAGTTTGAAAACATGATCACTCACTCCAAAATATACTTCTCACTGTTCGGTCATGTTCATTGTTCGTCTGGTCTCTGCTTTTCCCTCGGCTTACATCACTATTCAATCAAGCAAATCTTCATCTACCATGGAAGCAAGAATGCAATGTGGATCTCATCGCGTCGCTGTTGTTGATTTGTCACTTTTGACAAGCTTGGATGACTCATGACCGAACCATTTTACGACAGCTGACGTAGAAGGGCTGACTATCGGAAGTATCTTGCGATAGATGCAGCTCTCTGAGACCGAGAACACCGTACATCGAGCATTACGACCTAGCGATCCAGATGAATAGTCTCGGATGCTCCACTCGACGTCGGGGGATCGGGGGATTAGGACAATATAAATACCTAGCGTATTCGCTCATCCTCAACCCTCAGCGTCAACGATGAAGTTCTTCTCCACTGCAGTTGTACTTGCCGCCATTACCGGTTTCGCTTCCGCGACTCCGATCAGGCGCCAGGATAACTCTACCAACTCAACTATTAGCGAGACTCAGATACTGCAATTTGCGTTAACACTTGAGCACATCGAGAGCTCGTTCTATACACAGGCCCTCCAACAGTTCGACGATAGTGCCTTTCAACAGGCAGGCTTTCCTTCTTTCGTCCGTGGCCGTTTCCAGCAAATCAGCAATCATGAGCAGTCGCATGTACAGCTTCTGACCGGGATTCTTGGTAGCAACGCTCCCGCAGCTTGCAACTACTCTTTGTACGTTACTTGTTTCAACATTATGAATATAATAATCATATCGTCTTCCAGCCCTTACAATGACCCAACGTCTTTCGCGAATTTGTCGTATATTTTTGAGAGTGTTGGAACTTCTGCATACATCGGCGGATCGCAGTACCTCGTGAATAACACGAAGTACCTTCTCGCCGCGGGATCCATCTTGTCAACGGAGGCTCGCCACGCCTCATGGGTCAAATCATCGGTTTCATTGGCCGAGCCCTGGTCGAGTCCGTATGATGTTGTGCTTACTGGCAATATGGTCTACACGCTTGCTTCCCCGTTCATCACGTCCTGTCCGTCCTCGAACCCGCAGCTTCCGTTCAAAGCATTCCCGAAGCTTAACATTACATCCGCCGTGAACAACTGGACTACTCCAAATCTCGGAGAGACGGTTAACTTGTCTTATCAGAACTCGGCTCAGGGTGGCAACCAGTACCTTGCATTTCTTTACGGACGAAACACGACCTTCGTCAGCATCAACAATTCGCAGGCTACCATCCCGAGTAACCTTCAAGGTCTTGTCTTTGCTGCTGTAACATCGAGCAACAGCTCGGACGTGACAGACGGAAACATTATCGCGGGCCCGACCTTCTTGCAGTTTGACTTCGGACCTGAGGTTCCGAATTATTAAAGTAACTATTTGTGTTATTCTTATTTTTAACATACGGCTTCGTGTAGGCTTATGAAGAAAAACACTTTTATACTCACTATCTTGACTTCGCTTATGGTTAATAAAATGATGATATAATAATTTCGCAATTGATTCTATATGGGTTTAAATGACTAATACAAGAACAATAACGGCTTCGTAATTTTAGCAATGAACGTCAATGAAAAATTCTTTCATTGTAGTTTTAAACCACCACGGCCCAAACGGTGCCAAGTCTGTCGGGACGCCATTACCGCGCGGAGGCGGGATCTAATTCAGTTCCATCCAGTAAATGTTTGAATTTGATAATAAGCAACCGGCCACTCGAAGCACTCCGCCGCGGCCTTCGGGAATCATCCTCTCCACGCAGAGCATTACCTCCGCCATATCAGCGCGTTAAACCTAGGCCCGGGATAATCACTTTCCGAAATGCTTATTTCTTTTTCGTTGGTATCAATTCCGCGGTGTAGTGTCATATCCTGATGGGTTCCTGACGGAAATGACAAGAAAAGATGAGGAGCGCCGTGTCGCCTCTCCGACAGATTGCACTGTGGCTGTCAAATACGTATATAAAGACCTTATTGATGAAGGGAGAGAGGGCGTCGTACCAGCCCTAAGTACTCCCATATACCACTTTCCTCACAAAAGAAATCAATAACGCTTCATAAACCATGGGTTCTATCGAGTGAGTATTAAGTTAATTAACTTATTCACTGGCATTTTATATTCATGATGCGTTACAGAGGAATGCACAAAATCGTCGTGTCTCGCGACCTTGGCCCTCATGTCATGCCCGTTCTACAAGAGAGCAAAGATCTCTTCGTACGATCTTCCTTTTCTTCTCTATTCCTAGGCTCATCAATCTGACTTTAATCGACAGCTCGTTGTATGCCCTGACAATGTGAAGGATAGACAAGCTTGGTTGCTTGAGCACATCCCAGGCGCACATGGCTTGCTCTGCATGCTTTCTGACAAGGTTAGTGAATCGTTAAGTGACCAACACTCATAATGTGCTTACAATGCTTCCATTCAGATAACTGCAGAAATCCTTGAAGCAGGCAAGTCTGACCAACGATTAGCTTTTCCTGCTCGTCTAACGCGAAATTCAAACAGCGGGCCCTAACCTGAAAGTCGTCTCAACGATGTCCGTTGGATATGGTGTGTTACATCAATTCGGCATGTCGAAGGATCGGTCCTAATCGTCATATATGCAGAACATGTTCACCTTCCTACTCTCGCGAAGAACAACATTCGTCTCGGATATACACCCGATATCTTAACGAATGCTGTTGCCGATCTCGCCATCATGTTAGCACTGATGGCGACTCGAAACGCAAAGGAGTGTATGTCTGTTGTACACAATGGGCAGGTACGTCAGCTACTCCTACTTTTCCAAACCTTGTTCCGGTGCTTACTTGTCTTCCTATATAGTGGCCTAACTCCCCTTGGACGCCCTTCGGCTTCTGCGGTCCTCAACTCAGCACCATCCCACACGAAACCTCTCCAGGGAAGACCTCCCCAAGCAAGACAGTCGGGTTCTTCGGTTTCGGTCGTATCGCACAGGCGACACTCGCCCGCCTCGTCCCCTTCGGCATCCGCAAATTCATCTACACAGGCAACTCAGCCTCCACTCCCTCCCCCGCAACTCTCGAACGGGACGCCAAACTCGCTTCATCAGTCGGTCTTCCCCCCGACGCAATCTCGCGTGTACCACTCGAGACACTCGCAGCAGAATCCGACGTGTTGTTTGTCCTCGCACCAGGTGGAGCAGGTACATATCATGCCATCAACAGTTCCTTCCTAGCACGCATGAAACCCACGTCCGTCCTCGTCAACCCAAGCCGCGGGACTATCGTCGACTCCGACGCACTCGCCGCCGCACTCCGGGAAAACAAAATCTGGGGTGCGGCGCTTGACGTCGTCGAGGGTGAACCACAAATCACCGCGGACCACCCACTTGTCCGGGAACCGAAGTGTGTGGTGCTTCCGCACATCGGTAGCGCCACCACAGAGACAAGAATTGGGATTGGTCGATTGGCGGCGTATAACGTTATTGGTGGTGTCCTTGGTGAGGAGATGCCATCTGAGCTTGAGCTCGATAGCCGTGCTTAGATTCATCAGAAGTTTGCCTCCCGGAAAATCAATTTTATTCGAAGTCCATGCATGTATTAGACCCAGATAGACCTTAATACGCAATTTGTTCCTCCCATTCTAGAGCTGACTCCGAAAGTAGATCATCCTCAATGTCAAGCATCAAGTACGTGAGTAGGTAGTACAGACACAACTTTCGAGACCAGAAATTCAGCATCATCGTATTTGTCATGAAGTGTGTTCGTCAAAGTAACGGCAGACAAATAATAGGTCAATAGGAAGTTGAAGAATAATAACGGTCTTGTACAATAAGGGCACGGCCAGAGAGGTTATCAGCCAGATCCCGTGCCAACGATCAGTAATACTTATAAAGAAGCTGTAACTTGATAGCCTCAAACGCAATCCGTTCGTCACAATGAAAGGGAAATCGAACAGTTATGTACAACGAATTGGTAGCCTTGATCAGACGTCATCGTAAAAGACACATTGCTTGTACGTGTCGTCTTCCTTTGCTTGCTTGCTCATGAGGATTTCGCGGACCTGCAAAAATGAATTAAGAAAACGGAGATATGCCAATTTCGGGAAACCACCAACTTCAGCGGGGGGATTCAATCCCAGAGCATGAGCACGTTCCCATCGCTCAAGACGTGTCATGCCGACACATGGCCCATATTCGTAAGAACTACAAAAGTGTTAAGCGATACGATAATAATATAAGTCAGAGCGCTGGACACGTACGTGTCAAATACTCGCAGGATATGGTGGATCTTCGTCTGCTTCTCAGCATGGACTACGAAGTGTCGTCAGCCAATCCGAACTTTGGCAAATGACATCTTTTCTCACCAGGCGGGATATCTCCCATTCGCACTTTTGCCTGCTTATAAAGCCTTTGCACCTGGGGAGCCTTCTCCAAGACACCAAGGTCTACTGGTTCTGGCTCCTCTTCGTCTGACGTCGAGTCGGAGTCATCTACGAGAATCTTTGGCTTCATCATTCCTCCAGACGCTTTAGCCGGTGCATTCTCCATCTTGCGACGTTTCGCACTGCGTTGCTCAAGTGTTGAACCGATAAGTACGACATCATCCTCGCTCGTCGCATCCGTATTGCTGGTGCCAATGCTGATAGTACTGTCAAGGCTTGCTGTACGCGAGCCAGGAGCCCTGTTCTCACTCCCCGGTGGTTTCACCGCAGTCACGGACGGGCTGGCCTTGAGCGCCTTTGCCTTCCCAGATGCGGTTGAGCCGCGCTTCGAGGACGCGAAGGAGAGCGTCCCTTGTTTCATAGCTTGTCCTGACGACGATTTTGCTTTTGGTGCCATGCTTGAGAAAACTTGAGATTGCTTTGGATGGTCTCAGACCGCGTTTGTTGTTCACAGTGTATGCAGTAGGATGTGGTTCAGAGTCAGGTCCTCGAGTCAACCCCTCTCGATGGCCGAAGTTCAACCAGGTTCAAATTAGGAAGGGTGATCTCACATACAGGTTTCGGCAGTCGCCGAAACCTTACTTCAAGTCAAATTCGAGCACAGACTCTGCCCTTTTTTCTTTTTGTATTTTTCTGAATGGCAGCTTTGGCGTATCGAGATTCTAAAAGATGTGTGGTTGTTCATCAGATATTGAGGAACTCAGCAAGGAAGACAAAGGGTAATCTGAATACGGTATAGCTCAATGCGGAACCGTACTGCAAGACGAGCCTTCATTGAAGGTAAGCTGAAAGAGCATTAACATCCGGGCGTTTTTTAGAGAAGTCGTACTACTACTAGACTAGAAGCCAGGCAATTCCTCTCTTGAAGCCTACAAGAAGCTGAACCGATGAGCGACCCATGTCAACCCACGCAGCTGGCGCGGATATGTCGCAGATATGCCAGGGATGTAACAATTGTGGTGGACGAAGATGGGTTGTGATACATACAGTTCACCACATGAGAATCTGGGTTGGCTTTATTTCGGGGGAATGGCGACGTCGCTGCATTCGCCGGGGCTTGACCACAAAACAGGAAATTAAATGTCACGTGATCTGTTGGGATAAACGCCGTGACGACGACTGGGCGAACAGCAGCTGTGCAGTGGCCTTGTTCTCCGAAAACGACAACTGGTAACAAAAGGTCATGCTGCACATCCATAAATCAACGCCGCTAATCAGGTCATCGAGCGAAATCCGGCGCGAAGATGATGCTCGTTTGCTGGCGTTCCCATGCGGCGGTAAATAATACGCCGAGTTGTGCGGGTGACCGGAGTCTCCGGAGAGTCTTCTCGCCATCATAAGTAACGGAAATTATAGTACTTATCCATCTTGGATCGGAGCGAAGGCGCACCTCATATCTGGCCACGGCTCACCCCTTTGACCGGACAGCCTCTTGATTATCTACCACCACCGTCCTCACCATCCTCGCCTTCTACCCCTCTGAGCTATTCCCTCTATCCGGACGCTGTCTGAGCTACGCACACAAGCAGCAAGTGTAACAAGCCTGTCTCATCACCAAGGCTCCCCGAAAACCAGGCAGCGCACCTCGAAGGTGTGTATTACTACATCGAAGGCCTTCGATGCGCATGCTGATTGACAATGATCACAGTGAAATGGGCACTCCCACCACATCCCGGAGAACAAGGCGCAAACCAGTTGACCGCAGGTAGGTTCTTTTCACGTTTGTACCAGGTCTGTAATCACCCTGTACCCCGTTCATGCAATGTTGCAGACCAAAATTGCTCTCGGATTCGACCGACTCAGAGACGCCGAGCCTCAATCTTCGCAAGCGCCGAGGTGCGCCGTTGCAAGCTGTCAAGAATAAGCGCGCGAAGTTCGACGCCGACTCGATGTGTGTCATCTGTTCCCGCTTGCGTCTTGCACGTCTCAGAATAGTAAACTGACGTGAACTCACGACAGAGTTGTCGACCATTCTCGAGTAGCGCCCGAGCCCCAAGTAACCACCCAGGCACCTAAGCCGTACGTAGAATTCCATCTTCCCAATTTGACGTGCTCATACTTACCTCAGAACAAATTTTCATATGTGCAGTAAACCTTCGCGATCTGGTAGTAAACTTACCCGCGAGGAACTTTTGCGCGATGATTCCAACGCCGAAGTTCTAGGACCAGATCTTGTCAGGTGCCGCTTGTGCAAAGGAAATATTAAATTCTCTATTAAGGATAGGCACGGGGTTTCGGTTTGGCGAAGACATATTGGACGATGCCTGTTGGAACAAGTCGATCGTAACGCAGAGGACAGTCAAGCCAACGACGCGATCGGGCGTGTTAAACGCAGCGGCCGTCGCATCATACGAGTGTCACCAGGTTCTTCCCCACTCAAGCTTAAAATTACTCTCGCTAACCATGGGAAGTCTCAAACTCCCCGAGCGCAGAGCAATTCAAGCGATGCTGGTGGGCAAGTGACAATGGAAGGCGGAGAGTGCCATGATATAGAAGCGGAGCAAGCTACTTCGACTCCTTCTGAGCAACCTTTCCGGTGTGCCCCTCTACATAGGAAAACGATGTCCGCTGCGTCGACCGTTAGCGACACCAACATCGAGACTCCGCTCGACGTTCACGGGGAGCTACCCGCAATAGTTGTTGGACCTAGCTCCTCAAACAGCAATGCAGAAGAAATGGAAAGTGATCACTTGGAACCCAAACTATCTTATCCGGATGAAAGATGGACAGACGGTCCGCATATGACTTCACCGGAACAGATGGTCTTTCCTGAGAAGTTTGGGGATCACGGAGACGCTGCGGCATCAGTGCTCGAAGAACCTATTTCCGGGATCGACAATGCTCGAATTGGCGGCACGAGCGCTGCCGGTAACGAAATCCCACTCAAAAGAGCGGTTGTGAAACCTGTCAACATCGCAGAATTCGGTATTCCACAATCACCACAGCCATCAGTTTCCGAGTCCCCTCTTCCTGATGATCCAGCCTTGGAGTTCCCCGCTGCTTCTCAAAATAACGCGCCCCTATCTTCCCCTCATCAATCGTTATCAGAGTCCTCCGCGTTACAGGTCCTCGGAAACTCCGAAGCGGATGAAACTGACTTTTACCACCTCGATTTCCTCTATCCAGACTCGGAGCCGCCCATTTGCTCAGGTGAACTTGAGTGCGAGCTACGGGAGGCTGGATTAGGACCTGAGAACCTCTACAATTACCACAGCTTCATGGAGAGTGTGGCTCGCTTGGGACGTTCGCGGCTGCAGGACTTTCAGAATACCGGGTTGATGGTACCTGCATAGATGAGATGACCGATGTTCAGCTCCACCGTTCAGATGGACTGTTGATCTCCTTCCTCGATGAAATTAACAATCGTTCGATGCCGAAGGTCAGGTGGGATTGTTTGTCGTATACTAGTGAATTCTCTCCACACATGTTTTCCTCAGCCGCACTAGCTTGTTCTTTTGTCGTATCTCACAGACATCCATCTTATCTCGCCTACGTGTATCTTCTTGTGTTTGACATTGTTCGGATAGTTCGCTGTGTCCGTCTGTACTGTTCTACGTCACTCTTGTACGGCTTTGTATTTTGAACCCCAGTATGTACGGGACTCTGTATTACTGATTTATATTTGTGTTTACTCTGGTTATATATTAGCAAGCGTGTGAAATTTGCACCAAACTAAGAGGTGTTTTTGTGTTTGTTGACTTCACTGAACTCGGAAACATCCTTTCTTAGGTTCTTTATACTCAACCTTGAACTATAACTCCGAGTACTGCAGAACTGCAGAAGCGGACACTAAGAGATGCAGTTGCACTAAATCAAATTATCAGAATGCTAGCGAATCTAGACATCGATGTTATTCTCCAAGTACTTTCGTGGCTTCAACCTGATGATATCATATCTCTAAGAGCGGTAAGTAGCCAGATATGTAGCTACCAGTCCGTGCATTAACTCTACATCAATCAAAGACATCTAAGCACTTCTATTCTATCACGCATCTGCGCACAGTATGGTACACCGCACTGACAAACCTCCTCTCCGATAACACCCCTCTCGCACGTATGTCGCTCGGTCCCGACGATGAAAGCGCGTATAAATCATTTCGTGACCTCTCTCAACTTTCAACGTCACAGCTCGAGAGGCTTGTGTTTGCCACAAGCAAGAAAAATCGGATATGGGGGCAAAGAAGGCCTGAACGAACACGTGCGACGCGTATGCTTGCAAGAGTCGGTCGCGTGTTCGTTCTGCGTTTCCTACGAATATGCTCGACCGAGCGCGTAAATGGTGAAGAAGACGTAGACGAAGGGCGGTATCTTTTATCCTTTGGTCATACTCATGTTCCAACGCTATGTATGCAAGTCTGGGACGTGGAAGCGCAGGACCAGGGACAAAATGGAGAGCAGCTCGTTGATGAGTGGGTGCTACACGGTCGTATGATCGGGATTGCTTTCGATGAAGGAAATGGCTTGCGTGATTGGTACAAGGAAACGTATGGAGAGGTGTATGCAAGAGGGGCGCTGATCGCTGTTTCCGCGAGATGTTTTGGCGTGTATGTGTTTATTGTGCGTATAAAATCCGCTTATTGACTAAAACTTTATCGTAGGCCTGGAGATGTCATGTTTAATTTCCGTATAATGTGCTTCACGCCGTTAATACCATCCGGCGGAAACCTATCACCTCTCGCATCTTTCCGCCTTCGCGGGCCGCTGAACGTACGTGCTATGCACGGCAGGCGCGTCGCGGTCCAAGTTCGTGCGGATGGAGAGGGTCAGGTATTTGGTCACGGTGTGCTGAAGGTAGTTGATTGGGTACAAAGCAAGGAGATCTTTGCTCAGGCCCCTGATGACACCATTTCTTCCGAGACGGGAATTTTTAATACCGGACGAGAATTCGCCGTGAAGCTGGAGCCATCAATTCACGGCCTGGTAAGTATATAAGACCGAAGTCTTCGATAAGTCTTTAAAACCAGTAACTTATTCCCTCGCTTTCAGAACCGCGCCGTGCTTCGGGTACAGTTCGTCCACGACTGGGTGCTCGTTTTCCGCGAGTCCGTTCTAGAGTTCTACTTCGTCCCACCTTCGTCAATCACAAAGAACCCACAAACAATCCGACCAACGACGTTCTATAAATGGGCTTGGCAGATCAATACTCTCGCAGTGGCCGAACGTATCTCGTGGATACACGATCGCATGGCGTCGGTTTGTCGAATATGCAATGGGAGCGGTTCCGTTTTAACATCTTCCATTCCGGAAGGTAATGATATCCAAGTTGTATGTGCCTGCCGGTATCACCCACTGTCCATCGTCGCGCGTTTCGATAGCTACTACCCCTGGCCCGTCAACTTATTGCATCATTTCGTCCTCCACGTCAATCCAGACCAAAGTGCATTACAATACAACAGCAGCATTCTTGAGGCACCCTACACGCTCCCTCCGACACTTTCACATACCGTTCCATCCACTGTGCGTCTCTTCGGCCATTCGGTACTCATAATGGGACAATTTGGGACACTCCTATGGACAGACAGCGAAGCTAATAACTTTAGTGAAGGTCCAAGCGACGAAGCGTATTTCGCAGAAGGGACAGGCGAACGTGTCGCAGGTCGTCGACTCCGTCTTCCCCTGCCTCCCCCTTCATCACCAACTGAATCATTACCAGTCCTCCGAGACAGACAAGACACGGACGGTAATAGATTCGAGTTCCCGCCTGCTCATGCTCCTGTACAACTAGACGCTACGGGCTTGGGAACAGGACAGCAGACTATCCAACAGACTACTTCGGTTTTTGCTACGAGGTTGACTGAAGGGTGGTATTCTCTTGCCTTGTGCGAGAGTAAAGGGAGGATAGCAATTGGAGATGGGGAAGGTGGTATCGAGGTTTGGGATCATTTTTGAATATGTCGAAGTTGGATATTGTATGATATCATGATCATGACACTTTTTTTCTTCTTGTATTTGTCTTGAATGTGGTTATTAGACACGCACTCCTCGCTTTCGACGGATGTATCTGTATGTTCTGTATATCTCCTTTGTTATTATACAAGGACAACATTTTCCCCAAGGATTTCCGCCCCTGTAGGTATTTTCAACCACTGCAATGCATGGGAAATAATCAATTTCCATAAATGCTGTGCATTAGCCCTGTGATGAACTTTAACATATAGATAATCACCCTCATCAGTGTCTTAGTAGGAAATAAGAAAAGGTCATTATGAATGTGAGTTGCAACACCAAAGCAGCTCTTACACATTTATGAGGATGAGTAGCCGACTAGGTGTTCGGTTAGAATTATATTTTTCCGGCCTTGTGCATTCTTTTTGCATCCTGTACAGCATTAAGTATACTTCCTACTCACCTACTTCCTCTTATACAGTGCACTTTCTCCAGCTTTCGTTAGAGTAACAAATAGATCACTGTTGTATTTTGAAAACATGCACACTCATTACCTCACGTACATCCCATAAGAACACCATCATAGGGACCATCATGGTCATCCGCATCACCTTCAAAGATATTCGGTACAGTCCCAATTGTACACCTCTGATCCGTATTGTCCTGTCCCGGACACTTCACCCATGCGTCCCCCTCCTCCTGGATGTGTACTTCCCCACTCGGATGATGAAAACCTAGTCCTCTCCCAGGCAAGATCGGCACAGGATCTTTCTTATTGTTGACCCTTGCGAGACCTGCGTCGGAGGTAGAAGTGGTGATGGAGATGGAGGGAGGGACGTGTGCGTCGACGTAATCTGCGAATGCTTGGTTCCCGACGCGTGGCATGCCGTATCCTATCGTTCGGACGACGGTAGAAGGAGGGAGGTGTAGAGGGAGGTAAACGGCGTCGAGGAGTGCAAGAGCTGCGCCGAGGGAGTGGCCTGTGGTCGTTACAGACGCACTTGGGTGTTCTATGAGTGTGCGATTGACGGCTGCAAGGATTGAGGGAGCCGAGCTGACAATACGTTTTGATAGTGTCAGTTTAGACATAATTCGCCCTTTTCTGCGAAAGATAATAAAATGAATTACCGAGCGTGAGAGCCGGCAAAGCCACTGTGTGCTTTAATAGATGATCCGATACCGGGAAATAGGTCGGAATCAAGATCTCCGAGGAAGAAGTCTGCGTCCACAAGGATTGAAATACTTAATGATCAAGGAAGTTTAATATTATCTTAATACTGTCAACAATAGTGACATAATAAACTCACAAATTGCTCGTGTCTGTTCCTTGGTGCCCTACAATGACAGTATCAAGCGAGGAGTCGTATCCAACATACCCTTCAGGATGCGGACAATAAGTAAGAAAGGAAAGACGGTGGAGACAGAGCCAAAACTTACAGAACTGTGTATCACCCCCATTTCCTCCCGAAGCAGTTGTCTTGAAGTTGGAATTAGCATCACATTTGGCTGTAGCATGTTTTATCAGCACCCAGGACAATAAGTTGGTACATTTATCCCTTGAGGTATGGAATCCACGGTACCTCCACAGTTCCACGCAAGCGTCTCCGATGGCTCGCAATACGCAACCGCTGCATAATTCGTATAAGGTTTAAACGAAGCAACTTGAGTCGATGAAAGAGTTGTGAATCCATCCCTAAGGTAACGGTAGTAGCTGGTCGGGTACGCAGATACAAAGCCAGGCAGCACGGAAAGCAAGCAGAGAACACTAGCAACGGCCATCACTGCGCAATTGCCTCTCTAGGCCCACCTCTATTGAGCGTCGCAAGCCGATAGTTCTCTTAGTAGGGAGGAGAACAATGTGGAGCAAGGACCCAAAGTCAACACCGGGCTTTCCGGGCGACGATTTTTATACCATCACAGAACAAGTCTTGGTCGCTTGGCCAATGTGTGCTTTTTGCAGCAATACGCACGCTGGCACCGGGTACAAGTTACATCCGATCAAAGGCATGACTTTTCATGTCCCAGAAAGTATCAAAATCGCATTCATGGAGTCCGCACAGAAGTTCCAGAAGCAAGAAGTCCTCGAGTTGTTTGAGCGAAGTATTCAGAAGGCCCGACAGGAAGGAATTAAGAGTCAAAAAGCATATGTAGCCAATCATGCGCAGTAAGTGCGGAGCAGAACGGTTCCGTTGCCATGCAAGTATGCTTATGGGCGAGGAAAGGAGATATATTTGCATTTTGTGCGGCACCTGTGTTTTTGAGATGACGGTCCACGTAAAAAATATTTTAGACAACGTAAGCTGGATTCGGTTTTAGCGCCTTAGGATCGACTTTCAAACTCCGCAGTTTACACCCTGTTGACTATACCTGACCTCAACTCTGCTTGTGCCCTTTCTCAGATTCTTCAAGGGCTTATGCTCCTGTCTTGTTAAATCGCTATTTTACAGAAAAGCATCACGTAACCTTCCCGGCCGCGAACGAAGGTATGATGGTTTGATGCAGAGTCAAAACTCTTGCTCAAGCGTAACACGAAATTGCAATAAATGCATGATGGAGGAATGGTCGGTGCACACTAGGACTTTTCGAGAGGAAAACGATCTTATTGCGGTCAACTCCGCCGTGAGCGCGACGTCAGAGCACACTCCGAGATATCCAGACGGAGATAACTTTAAGCTCATGGTGCGCACCCCAGGTCACATGAAATGGAGTCCAGGGACCACCTCCCGTTCCTACTCTGTTGCTGTCTCCTCCGTTCTCGCCATCACAAAAACAAACACGAAAATGTATTGGAATATATTGCTAAGACATATTTTTTTGTATATTGTGGGTCCTTATATTCGATTGTATTGTCTACATGTACATATATTGCCTTGTCAGACTCTGCACAAAAGTGCGATGGCCGTGTCCAGATAGATCGATCAAAGAGAAGCCACAGGCAATCAGGCTGCAATCGGTGCGACGGGACTATTTAGGCTTTAACTTCAAACTATCGATAGTTGCGGGCTCTTTCGGGGCAGAACATGTCGCAGTGTGCCAAGGGTACGGCCAGTCTAGAAAAGTGAGCTTTGATTGCAAAGGCTATTTTGGTTAGGGTCATATCACCACCCCAAATCATGTTCCCAACAGTGAGTAGAGCTTAACCAAACATGATGAAGTCATCAGCATTTGCAGGACTGCTATTTCAGGCACGTAGGGATTTGCATCATTATTTATTTGAACAGGCATGGATTAGTTTGATATCGTACAGCTAATGAGCTCTCGTTTGCTTACTGGGCTGCTGGGAAAGTCTATCAGATTGGAGAAATGTATGCTCCAGCATCAGCTGGAACAGAGGGTGGAGCTTTTGCCACTGCGCCAGCTACATCACAAGTTTTGATGTGCGCTTGTTGCCACAAAGGCTGTTTGATTAGAAATTTGGTGTACGAGAGCGAGGAGAACCGGTGGTAGTATCCGACATCCGCTGCTAATTCCCATTTGGTTGTGTAAATTACTGCAATATTTGAATAGTCGTGAACACGTGAGCGTTTTGCTCGTGGGAATGGACGCGCGAAAAGCAACAAATCTGACTTCGTCCTTCATCCAAACACAGCAGTCCTAAATCAGTAAATGCAAATTCTGGGATCAATCTTCGACTGCTGACGAGGAAAGGGAGAGTAAAGCAGACAAATAGGACAAATAGCAGGAACCTGGATGACGGCAAAATATTTGTGGGAGAATACCCCATTTGTTGCCGGCGATCAAGATCCATCAGCAGCTCTACTCGTCCGTCCGCACAACACCGACGCTCCTTTCTTTATTTCCCACCTCATCTTCCTCGTCTCTACTTCTTTTCCTAGACGCTGCTGGCGACGCACATGCAGCGCCCAGAGTCGTCGCTCAGCGAGCACAGCGCAACAAGCAGCGCGGGCGCAGGCTCAAGTCTCATGAGAAGGCCCGGTCGTGTAGCCGGCCCACGTAAACCGACTGCTAAAGCATCCATAACAAACCTTGCTTCCAAGGCTCAGCAGCAACAGCAACAACAGAAAGCTCAATCGCGCCCTCAGTCAGAGCAACATGAACAGCGACAAGATGAACATCACGAACGACATGGCCAGCACCGACAGTCTCAGAACGAGCAGCCGCCATCTTACATGCAAAGCCAGCAGGACTTACATTCCCAGAGGCCGCTGCAGTCTTATACCCCACCACCGACCAGCGCTGTTACCTCGGAGTCTTCGTGTTCACATCCTCCGATGAGCGTGTTCACGCGGATGGGCACGCCCTCCTCGGTGTCTGCCATTTCCCCAGTCCGTACTATGTCTCCAGCACCGCTCGAACCTCACCCGGAAGAGCCATCGGCGCATCAATCGCCTCACCAGGCAGCCATTCCACTGCCTCCCTCGCCTCGGGGCACCCCTGAACCCGAGCTACAGCCGAGTCGCACATCAACGCCCAGTGTCCCGTCAATCTCAAAGCCGCCAACTCCGAGTCCAGAATCACCTGTCTCGACCTTTTCCTATACCAGGACGAGAGTGGGTGCGACCGCACCCGCACCGCCACCTCTGCAACCGCCACCTCCGGTCGACTTCAATCCCGAGCCTGTTACTTGGAAGAGCCTCACACTTGATGCGGCACAGTGGACTTTTTCTTCTGAAGAACTGCAGGCAATTGTCTCACGCGCTATCCGCGCGAGCGCCGAACCGTCGTCTATCCGTCTTCTTCCCATCCAGATGCTCGATGGGGAGTTGGTTCAAGAGGTTGAGCGGCTCGAGTCAGAACGTGCAAAAGCTACTGCGGAGTACCGATTCATGATGCACCGACGAACGATGCTGCTTCAATCTTTGAACGCAACTTCTGGACCCTCCAGCTCTCCGACCAGCTTTACCGGAAACATGGTGAATCTATCACAGAGCTCTGCAGTGCTAAGCCCAGCGGCAGATCTTGCACAACGATTAGCCGATGTGAGCGCCAGTCTTGATCGCCTTGCCACGACAGTTTGCCGTGTTTCGGACCAGCTCGCGCAGATTCGCTCATTACAAGAAGTACACGCCGCAAGCGCGCTCGCTGTTGCGCTCCGCAAACTCAATGCTAGCTATGCACGCCGGGTCCGCGAGAATCAAAGCTTGAAGGAAAAGCTCGCAGCTGCCGAAGACGAGCGCGACGAAGCATGGCGCGTGGCAGAGGAACTAGCAGTGGAATATGACGAAGAAATTGAAGACGTAACAGAAGGAGATGTGGTCAATGGCGAACGCGCCGTTGCTGTACCCGCAACTTTCACTCGGGCTAGCCGAGTTGGTATGAGGATCAAGGTGCCCGGTGTGGGTCCTCGTATACAACCCTCAGATCCCGAGGACATTGTGCCTGAAGCTACTGGAGAAGTGCCCACCTCGGATTCACCGAATAGCGCTCCTGGAGAGACACCATCTACGCCCGTTCATCGACGGAGACGCGCAAATAGCGCGACGTCGCGAGTCTCCGCCGCACGAACAAGGTCTGTCCGTGCATCTAAGGCTAGCCTGCGCTTCCCGCGAAATCAGGGATCACGACCACCATCTTCTTACTCTCAGCATTCTACTCAGTCGGGAACCCGTGCACGTTCACGCTCAAGGGCTGGTTCAAGACCCGGATCCCCCGTCGATGCACCGTCTACGAGTGGCGTGAACACTCCGGACGGGGCAATCCCAGATGTGCCGAAGATCCCAAATGCAGATGAACTCAAGAGATTAGCAAGCGTAAAGAGCACGTCTTCAACTCCTACCACCTTACCGCCTCTGCCACCTCCACCTATCGAGACAAACGTAGCCGCGAGTAGCTCATTTCTCGATATGACGACGCGACCAAATTCTGCGTCCGATGAGAAAGGGAAGAGCCCAGAGAAGGCTAGTACAGACAACGGGGATGCAGGGTTGGAAAGCAACGTGCAGGAACACACGACCTTAAATCCTGGAGATGCACAGGCGAACAGTGCAGCGCTAACTGATGTGCAACAAGCTGATGGCGACGGGCTACACGATGGATCTGACCTGTTGCAGGCGAAGAGCGACGAGGAAGCCGATGAAGCTCAGATCATCAGTAGTAAGTGGCTCTTTTTTTAAGGAAGATTAACTTGAATCAGCATCAACCCTTATTCTTCTATTTTCTTCGTGTTCTGCCTCACTTGATTGATCTATTTTTGATTTTCTAATCACTCTTTGACCCCAATAGTCCCTCCTCGGCCGCCACCAAAAGAGCCCTTCTCAGCCTCGCGAGTCGAGGCGAGCAAGGCAATTCTTCCCGAGGCCATTGATGCGAAGAAACAACTGCAAGCGCGTCCAAGTTTGCAAGTCTACCCGCCAACATGGACTCGTCCCCCACCTGACTCACCAGTGGACGTCACACGTGGAAGCAATCCTCACCGCGCCGACGGCGAGGACGACGACTTTGAGGAGGATGCAGAAGAAGCAGAGCTTGCAGATGAATTCGAGATGGCGTACGCGCAGACGGCCCGTGGAGCAGTAGGGTATATGCGTAGCCCGTTGCGCGTACAGCATGCACAGAGCATGTTGCCCTTCCCTGGGACGGAAGGTCGTGGGCCGTTCCTCAACGGCACTGTATCAGGTAGAGAAGCGTTAAAGAGGTCACCTTTGTCCGAGAATGATGTCCAGCGCCCGTTCCAAGGGGCTGAAGTTAGCGCGAGTTCGCGTAGGCCGACGTCATTACCATCCGCTCAGGGCGAGACGCCTTGGAATTACTTCTAAGCGAAACACCAGCTTCCCTTTGTTTTCTTTTTGTTCACTTCACTTATTTTTTGATGTCTTCAGATGCATGCATTACTCCATCATTCTTCCCTTCCTCTGTGTATCACCTTCAATTTGCTGTGCATCTTCATATGAAAGTTCTTGTGCCTTTAGCCGCTCCTCGTCCTTTTTTCTCCTCTGATAACGACACGAATTCCCATCCTTTCCTTGTCTCATCTTTTCTTTCTCACTCGGATCGCAATGAAAAATCTCTTTCTACTTTCATCGTAACATATTAATACCTCGCATTACTCCACCGTGCTTTGGCCTTGTCCAATTACACAGTCGACCAGTTCTCCCTCTTCCGTTCAATCTCGTTCCCTCGGTCCCCGGATTTACTTTCCCCTCCGCGTTCCCCTCGACATCCATACTATTTTACACATGTTCTCGTTATATAATTTATAGTGTAGAAGTAGCTTCATCTACAGTAATTATTTGGGGCTCGTGTTTCCTTTCTAACGTTTCTTACTATTTTGTAGTGTGTTCTTTTGTTCTTTCTTGTCTTCCCTTTTTCTTCTGTTCTCTCTGTCATTACTTGTCCTTTTAACTGTTTTATACTGTCTTTACGTGGAAATTTGTTTTGTTTTTGATGATGAGTAAATGCAACTGGTTTGTTCTTCTGTATTTTTTGTGTTGGGAATGGACAGCTGTGTTCTCATTTGCCACGACTGCATCAGCGTTGATCTGTCTTGTCTAGCGCTCTTACCAGACCAGACAGCCATGGCTGCTGCAAGTTGTAGATAAGTCTTTTGCTAGATGATATACTTATTTGGGTTTACAAATTTATTTATTTAATTCTCGATTTCTTGCAGAAAACTGAATAATATCGTTTACATCTAGTGCTCAGACGGACTACAACTTCCATCGCATGGAACCATGAAGACGGAAGCGTGAAGATGGGTGAGTATCGGTCGCCTTGGACGTCAGCAGCTTCACTAAACGCAGAGATAGCGGTGATATCCTCCGGCGCAAGATGAAGCATTCCATACCTGTTGAGGGTGACATCAGAAGCAAAATATAATAAGAACCATATACAAACACCATCTCGTGCTCTCAACTCTATTGCTGTCTGACGAAGACCAGCAGCCGCCTGCTTATACTTCGCTTCACCCTCGTCACAGTTACACAAGTATTCGTAAACAGTCCTGGCGAAGTTGGGTTCGTCCAGATCATATAGCTCCCACATCGATCCAATGACGCTTCGAAATCCAGATAATTGCATTGCCGCTGTCAGGTGAAGCACTTCATCATGCGGACCATCGTGAGGTTGTTCAGCGGTGTGGCAGGCGGAAAGGAATGCGAACTCCGCGTCCGGAAGATTCGCTTGGACAATGTCGGGCTCGTCCAGTATTCTTCAACAATGGCACACATTTGAGGTGTGGACCGTGAGGTTAGTCTCTGATCAGACAATTTACTTAACGGTATCTACTGTAATAACTATATCTGCTTTATTCTCGATTCTCGCGAACAAATTTATCAACACCATTTACTCCTATAACATATAAATCCACCAATGTCAAATATGTCGCATTATTCACCTTTCCACTGTTCAAGCGGAATGCAATTGCCCTCGACCGAAGCCGCGAATGCAAGTGAATATCGGTCACCTTGGACGTCAGCAGCTTCACTGAGTGCGTGGATAGTGGCGATGTCCTCTGGGGTAAGGCGAAGTTCCGCGCCCTGTGCGTTTTCCTCGACGCGTTCTATTGTACGACAGCCGGGGATAGGTATGTCTATGCATTAGATGTGGAAGTCGTGTAAGCATTTTGAGTAAATGATGCAGGAAGGAGAGAGGTAGTAGAAGTAGATACTCAACAGTTCTCGGAAGTTGCTAGGATCCACGCAAGAGCGACTGTACTTGCAGTTGACTTGTACTTATCTGCGATGGCCTGGAATTTATCGGCCAACACAACGTTCTTTGGGAAGTTCTCCTCAGAGAAACGCGGCTGGCTTAGTCGGAAGTCGCCTTCTTCAAAGGCTGCGCGAGAGCGGTACCTAACATTAAGTGTTAGAAGAGGGTATAGCCAAGGTGTGCATTGTCTATGCGATAGTCAAATTATATGCACTCACTTTCCAGAGACGAGACCACGACCTAGCGGACTGTACGCAACGACAGCGACACCAAGGTCCTTCGCAGCCTTTGCAAAACCGTCCTTCTCAATATCAAGTGTGAACGGGCTAAACTCCATCTGCGCAGCGACGACTCTCTCGCCAACTCCCTTGACTGCTTTTGCACGCCGCAGAGTCTCAACGCTACATTCACTCAACCCAATCCACCGAATCGTTCCTTTCTCGACTGGCTCTCGGAGCGTTTCAAGCACGACTTCGATCGGCACATTCGGGTCGACGCGGTGCTGGTAGTATAAGTCGATGTAGTCCGTTCCGAGACGTTTCAATGACCTCTCAAGCGCATACTTGATATACGTGGGCGTTGAAACAGGTTCACCAGGTTTCCCGAACTTGCCTTCAGGATCCCAGCCTCCGAACTTGGTCGCAAGGAAGATCTCAGAGCGACGGCCTGTCTCTGCGAACCACTTTCCGAGTGTAAGTTCACCTGCGATGAGTGTAAACATTAAGGATTTTAGATATGTACATTAATAAACGAATATAGAAAGAATGAAGACGTACATGGCCCATAGATATCTGCAGAATCCCAGAAAGTCATACCACGATCAGCTGCATAGGCTAGAGCCTTGAGTGCAGCTGCTTCATCCGTTTTTCCGTAGAAAGCACCAATACCTATATATTCAGTGTTATAATTAACATGCTAATCTTTTCAATACACCGAAAAACTTGAGTTACCCATGGTGCCAAGTCCGACAGCACTGACACTAGGTCCATTCGCACCGAGACGACGCGTAGGAATCTTCTTTGTGGTGGCCATAGTGGATTGTAATAGCGAGTAGATAACGACTAAGACATGCTGAGACTTTAGCCTTTATATAGGGAATGTCTAAAAGCAATAATGCCGAGTAGCAGATGCCGACGACGTCAGCGTGTCCCTTAATAATCCATATTTCTCTGGTCTCCACTCATGGAGATAAATTCCGCGAAATGAAGGTAATATCGAATCATCTGAGAAACTTTGTCGGGATAGATAGCCGGACTTGAGGTCTGGCAGTATTATGCACTGCATCCCACGGTAAACATCCCTAATCAAGCTTCTGTTCTTTTGAAGTTAAGAGTCCATCCCTCTGAGACACTATTGGGTAAACAATGACTATAACTTCATGTCAGTGCAGGTCCGTTGTCGTCTACAAAGTTCGAAGCAGTAAGGGCAAGCAATCGGAAAGCCTCTGAGCCCTCAGCATGAAGAATTCCAAGAACGTATTCGCTTATTAATGAATTTGCTGCTAGAGGAGTTCATTATGCAAACTCTACTGCCAAAGTGATGGCACGAAAACAAAGAAGGACAGAAGCCATCCTGGGACAGAGATTCCTGATTGACAACCGCATCAACAAAATTGTAAGGGCTGAAGTCGTTACTTCTGTTTGATTCACGCTGCTTGCGAATGCTGTTCTTGGTCTTGGAGTACATCTCTAGAAGAACTAGTATTGCTGTATATGAAAAAGCAGGCTCTCAACACCTACAGAAATTAATGAAAGGAATTCCGGCTGAGTATTTGTGAGAAGGCCTGATGACCTTTGGGGGCTACGGAGTAGTCAGTTACGAGACTCGGAGGATAGATAATACCGTCAGATAGACGTCAACTTAGGTAGATTCCAGCCAGCTAGTACCAGTGTAGTGAAGAAAGAGTGAAAGATGACACAATTCCCGGATGTCGCCGCACGACGCGTCAGACGCGGATGAACGCGCGTCGACGGCGCGTGACGTCGTGCGTCTACGGTCTATCTGCGTGCTTAACGGATCTCATTTATAATACATCTACAGCATTCCAAGCCAAGCATTTTCTTTCTCATCCACTCCTCTTCAAATTCTTACTCATATGTCTGGAAAGTCTGCTCTATTGCTCGGTGCCACCGGTGCCGTTGGGAAACACGTCTTGCGAGAGCTCATTGCCTCGGGAGAGTTCACGCGCGTTGGTGAATATGGGAGGCGTGTCACGCCCATTGAACACCTCGGGCCGAATGCTCAGGGGAAGCTTGAGCAGAAGACGGTGGATTTTGAGAAGATCGAAGATGCTGGTTTGCGTGATGGAAAGTGGGATGTTGTATTTATCACGTACGAGCTGAGCAACTCCGAGTATTATTGAAGTGTGTGTCCTGATTGTCATGCCTTGTTTGTAAAGTCTCGGAACGACTCGAGCAGCCGCGGGAAGTGCAAATGCATTTGAGAAGATTGACAGAGAGTATGTTCTGTCATTGTTCTCCGTATTCGTATATATTGTACCACAGCTCACTTCTACTCTTCAGATATACCATTAACTCCGCACGTGCGGCCAAGACGGATGATCCTTCGCACGAACAACGCCTCGTCTATGTTTCGGTGTGTGACAGAATTCATCTAGTGAAACGCCTTCGTTCGTTTATTAACATTACCATGCTTACCGCAGTCTATGGGTGCAAACACCAATTCACCGTTCTTGTATTCAAAGTAACTTATCCTCACCTCTTCTGCCGTAATGAGACTGCCTACTAATACACTATACGACGCTACGCGTAGGAGTAAAGGACTCACTGAGAACGGTCTCGCAGACCTGAAATACTCCGATACAATCGTCTTTCGACCAGGTTTCCTTGCCAATGCACAGAGGCCGAGTACACGACTAACGGAGTCGCTTGCTGGGTACGTAAAAATAGCTTCTAGGCTAAATGACTGATTCCTTCTGTCGTTGTCCCCAACTTATTGTTTGTTCCCTACAGATCTATCATCGGGTTTGCTTCTAACGTCATCTCGGGCCTACAGATTGATGTGCGTCTTTTCTATTACCTTCATGATAATACAACTTATATCAACTTGCATTTCTTCCAAACTAGGTCTCCACCCTTGGGAAGGCGATAGTTCGATCAGGTTTCCTGGGTTCCGAAAAGCTACCCTCAGTTGCCGAGGCAACGAAGGCAAAGACACCAGGTGGCGCACAGTTCACAATTATAGGAAACAGAGGTGCCGAAAAGTTTGCGAACGCTCCGTTGTAGCCCCTATCCAGTAAACAAGTTTCAAACTCTAATTCAGCTTGTTCGAATTCGAATATTCTTGTGTATGTTACTTACGCATGTCTAACTAATATAACGTGCCATTTACGCCTCATTTTCAATTTTTAATAAGTCACAATAAGTTCTGTGTCTATAAAACATAATAACATTAATTCCCATAGGCAAAGTCATAATTGTCCGCGGCACTGGTCGGGTCTTACATTACTTTACATATAACATACAAACGACAGCAAAATAGAGCAACAAGGCAGAAGCACGCGAGGGCTCAACTATGCGGTTGACTCACAACATAAGTTCGTGTCGCAAGGTCCACATAAGAATCGTTCCGATGCACCATCCCGATGCGTGTTGAATGTAAACCAGCAGAGCCGCTCGTCCCAGGTCTTGATGAACTGTTATCCTCCTTACCCTTTGGGAGAGAAGCCAAGTGAATAACCTCAAGTGGCGTACTGGGACAGGAGATATCTCGGTTCCCTAGGTCAACGATGAGCTCGTTCTCGTTCTTTCCTGGACGCCATGCAATTCGGCTGATCTCGATGTTGCTTAGGAGGAAAGTTGGGTCACTACCCATGTCTGCCGCTAACGAATGAATGCTGAGAATGAGCCGTGAAGCGCAAATTGAGTGGGTTGCCAGTAGGAAACTGTAGTAGAATCAGGCAAGCGTGGTCAATGTCTATTCGTTAGTAAGAGAGAAGTGAGCGGCATACTTGGAAATCAGAGCAGGCATAGCTATCTGAATGATCGGGAAACAAATAAGGACTTTCTCTCAGAATAAGGAAGCTAAGAACCGACCTTCGGATGAGTCAGCATTATGCTCCCGATCCCTGTGAAGCCAACGGAGACTAAAGGCTGCTTTAGCGGGACCTCCCAAAGATGCGACGTGTTATTCTCACCAAGCACGGCACAGTAGAAGATACCTCCACTAATGTATTCAAAAATGTGGCCACAGTGAGACATTCCCCCAGTAAGAAATGTATTGCATACTCACTCGCGTAGAAGTCGATTCACCACGGTCCTATCCGTGCCAGCCGTCATAGGACGCAAGATGCGGAAGACCGTCGCAGCGAAGAGTACAGCTATACATCACGAAGAAAGACGAACCGTCAGCGTGAGGCGGCCGAGGAAAAATATCCGAGGTAAGAAGACGTACTTTGGATAATCTGATTGAATACGATGGGGCAGGAAGATCGGCAATCAAGTCAGATGTCGAGTTTTTCAAGAACAGCTCTGCTGAACACTCACGAACGTGGGAACAAAAATCGCTGTGACAGAAAGAGATGGCAAGTCAGAACATTGCACCCAGATACCGAAGGAGAGGAGAAATTAGAATGCATACGCCAGTAGGGACCGTTCCCAAAATTAACACAACCTGGTTGGTTCCAGGTAACTAGAAACAACAGAATGGGTCAGAAAGCCTCCGGTGGCCCAGGAAATTACCGGAACTTCCTGAAGAACTCACTGGGAAACTCCATCGCTTCGAGTTCCTGCAATACAAATGGTCAGATGCCGCACTTCGAGCGGAGAAACGTGGCTTCCGTACGTGTATAGCCTTCCCCGCGAAGCCTATGGCGATACAAGAACACACGACAAAGATGCCGCAGACCAGAAACTGCACGGGACGATTGTGTGTCCAAAGGAAGTACACTCGCGTCGTCAGAATCGCTGACGCGTGTCAAACCAGCGCACAGGAAAGCGTCAATCAGCGCGGAGAACATCTTGATCGACAAGGCTGATGGCGTACCTTCAACAACGACCATGCCAAACACCAGAAACGATGTCGACGTCTTGATTGCCGCATTGCAACTGTGAAATTCCGATGAGTGGATTCACGTCTTGGCAGAGGCGCCTGAGAAAGAAACGTACAACTGTACCAACAGCACGCGACAGTTACAACGACAAAATTGAGAGAAGCCACTGGAATCCGCGGAACAATTTACTTACATCGAGAGGTAGAACCGGCGTAAAGACATCTAAAGATGCCATTTCAACACGTTTTGCACGACGACGGAAGCAAATAACGCACAAGTTAATTGGACGCTACAAAATGGGAAGCTTAGTTAGCGATCCGTTAGGGAATAGAAACGACTAACAAGAAAACAAGAGGAGGTATGTAACGGTTCTGTCATGTTTTCACGATGTTAAGCCGACATGTAGCGATGGGAAGGGAAGATACACTTACCATGAAGTAGAGGATCCTAGTCAGCGACCATTCTCCTCCCCAGAAAAACTCAAACTAATCGAAGGTGGAGCTGCAGTAGATGTAAAGCCAGCGCCAGGAGTGAAAGTTACATACCTCCTGGTCCAAGCACGTTAAGTGATCATAAATAAGCAGAACGAATGAAGAAATAGCCAGATATTTCGTTGAAGAGAAGCCCTCCGCAACCTGCGAGAGGAAATCGGGCGTAAAGAAGTCCATCGCACTTGTGAAGCAGAGCAAGAGGAAACGCAGAAACTAGTCGTACAGGCGCAAGAGCGCGCTACTGCCTATATAAGAGGCGCCTTCGAGTGAAGCACTTCCTAATGCCAGAAGGTGCGAAGTGGGCTAAGGCAGGGAAGAGGCAGACTAACGCTAGCAGACCATATTAATGGCATCCAGCGTGTGCACGGGAACCAGATTGAATTTGAAGAGGAGCATGAGGGAAGACGGCGTCTGTACCTTCGGGGCTGATTACCCTGGAGAGATGGCATGGGATCTCCCATGTTCTCTCCGAGAACACGACACATTTGATGTGGATTGAGACTCGGATCTGACCAAAAAGTACTAGTCTCTGTAATCCCAGATTGCAGGAATGGACAAAAGCTTGAAAAAGCAATTAAGCAGCTCGAGGATAACAATATTTGATAGAGCCAAGCAACATCTTTCGTTAGTCTTCTGGAGACCCGGTATCATCTTCCGAAGCTCGGAGTGTTTGACAGTCTCGAGAAAGTAGTCGAGTAATTCAAGCTCCGCTTTTTTGAGTTTTAGAAGACCACAGGTTGCTTTCGTAATCAGTCTCCACAGAATGGTCACGTGCACAACGCGTGCAGAGTTGAGTACTGACCACAGACGCGACTTCAAACGACACGCACCAAATGCCTCTGCGCCGTTAACCTTTGCTGAGCTGGATATCGACGAGCTCCGAATTCTGCTATTGAAAGTCTCAGTAGCCTCTACATCTTTTTTGTCTAGTCTTGGCTACGGTGTCTTCGCACTATGGCTTGTACACCGCACAAGTCAGTCCAATGGTCAAACAATAATGAGGTCAATGAATTCGTCTATGGCTCTCCTTATTCGGAGGCGTCATCGACAGACTCTATAAGTGCAGGTTCGACGCTACAATACATCAATTCTCAACTGCTGGCCCATGGTTTCGCACGAGGCACGGGGATCTCTTTTGAAGGACTCTCAAAGGATGATGCAGATAAGCTATCAAAATGCTTGATTGGAATGCTCAGCCAAAGAAATGTAAGACATAAACCTTGCACTGAAATAATGGTGTATCTGATTAGGTTGACTCAGGAGGACATGTCACGCGCAGAGGATCTCTCAACGAAGTTACGCACTCTGACATACGAACACGAGCGTCTTGCCACTATGCACAGGACAGTTTCGGAGCAACTGGCTTGTGCAGAACGTGAAACAAATCTCTTCAAATCTCGTCTTGCGTAAGTGAACTTTGACCGTACTCGAAATCCTTCAAAAGTGACGTGCATTGTAGTGCTTCACACAAGCAATTACATGCATCTGAGGCGGCTCATAAGGCTACATCAGCAGAGCTCCAGCGGACGCGATCTTCAATGCAATCCGTACGGCAAACGCATGCTGCCGAGCTCAAGCGACGTGAGAAGGAAACGGAAAAGGCAATGGATCGGTGGCAAAAAATCTGTGATATGCAGACGAAACTTGGCTCATCCAGTTCCGGAATTAAATTCAAGCCGACACTTGCAAATCCGGTTGTTAGTAGCCGAGATAGCGAGGTTATTGGAAGAGGTCCAGACGCAGTTGAAGACGCATTAGACGAGGCGCAAATGGCCAGAAAGGAGTTAATGGAGGAGAATACGAGCCTCAAAAATGTCGTGTTATCCGCGGCAAATGAGCTCTTGCGCATATCTCACGCGATTCATTTGAGGATTGGGGAACCTACAGAAGAAGAACCGCCACACTTCACTCTGTCAGATATGTTTTCTATCTCCGCACCGGAAAACGCTAGCGAGAAGTTCAATACGCTTCTATCGTCGTTCCAGGAGATAGTCACTCATCTCGGAGTTACTTATGATCCTGCCAGTGAATCCACGACTCCTCAACTTCCACCTACACGATCCGCTTCTCAAGGCGCTCAAAAAATGGATGGCAATAGTCAGTGTGGTGACGGTAAAGAGCTACTACGGCTCCAAAGCACTGTCGTAGATCTTCGTCGGCAACTCGGTAAGATCGTCGCCCACATCCACTCCCAGGTCTCTTATGATTCGTTTTTTCTAGAACAAGCACAGACTCAGAAACAAACAGGTGCATACGCTGATCAGGCACAAGCTATCATTAGACGTTTCGTCAACAGCGATGACGAGAAGGCAAATGTGCATGAACGCCAACTTCTGGAGAAGATTCGCAAAGAACTGGATCACGCTCGGAAGAAGGTCGATGAAGCTGCTCTAACGCTGAAGGATGAAAAGGTGGCGCTAGAGGTACGTCATTTCTTTGTCCTAATCGGTTCTGATTCAAAAAATACAATAGGAAGAGAAGCAAGACTTTTACAGAGAGCAGCGCCTGTGGCGCTCTCAGATGTGCATTCCGCAGGATGATGGTGCCCCGAAACCAATCACGGGTCTCGGTGCCTATTTCGATAAACCTGCTGAGCCGCTCGAACTTCCAGTTTCGCTTCCCAGACAATCACAGAAGATCAAGAAGATTAAATCTCCGAAGAAAGGAATGACTCCATCTCGAAAGCAAACTGGAGCACCTCGCTCTCCAGCTAAGCCAGCTTTCGCCGTTGGTAAGATTGGCAAGAAATTGCGGCCTATTAACTCCCCCAAGAAACCGAGTGGCTCGATGCTTGGCGTTTCTACGTTACGTCCAAAGGTTATTCCGCCAATGGAGACTGAGGTGATGCCAACTGCACCAGCCTTACCATCGACATCATCTGCACAATCTCTCATTGCACCCAACTCCTTCGTTTTGCCCCCTCCATCTCCTTTAGCTTCTTTACCGTCTCACAAGCCAGAACTCCTTTCAACGAAACCTATACCTGCACCTTCCTTTGGCCATTCAACTACCCCACCAGAGGATCAATCTTTCTCAGACGATCTTGAGGCGGATGAACAACAACATCCCACGCCGAAGAAACCCTTCCCAGTTGCGAAGCCCCTTGCCCAGCACATGATCCATGCATATTCACCTGCGCGACCAAGTCCACTAAGTCGGATCTTATTACTCGCAAACTCGCCGGTGCAGAGCGTTACTGCTCCGGAAGAGGACGTTGACTCTCCGTTCCAAGCAGAAGGCGCGGAAGGACTCGACTATGGTGCAGGTGCTGTAACTTCAGGTTCTGGTACTTCCGCCGCTATGATGGTAGAGGATGAACTGGATGTCGATGACCTTACATGTGCGGCAGATGAAAGCCCTCTAAGGGCGAAGAACATGCGACTAGCGAGGAAAAACAAGAGCGCGTCGCATCCAACCAGTGGGGTCAGGGATAAGGGCAAGCTAAAGTCATCTACGCTGAGAGGTTCGGCCAAGCCAGTCGGACGACAGACAGACAAGGAGAACGGCGCAATAAATCCAATGAGTTCTCGGGCACAGCGTCCAGTACCCATTGTGAAACAGTCGACGACAGCTAAGCCGCTTATAAATGGCAAGGGAGGGGCGAGGCGAGTTCCTATTGGAAGCGTTGATGCAGCACCAATTGGACCTGGGTGGAAATGACCTTATGAAGTCCTTCTTTATCTCTGAATCCCCATCACCTTTCTTTTCACGCCTGTTCGCATGCCGGCCTTGCTATGTTTACTTTCAAGTCATCCCGGAATAGTATGCACTCTACAACCCTTTCTTGTAACATAGATGTATTTCACTTGCTGTCCACTTTAATGACCAGCCTTTTCTCGAGACAGTCCTTGATATCTCCTGATATGAGTCTACACATTTTCACGGCTTCGAGCAGAAAGACTCAAACCTTGCGTCAATTTGATCTCATACGAATGGTCTTGATACGAACGACACAGCAATGCAGTGACAAGTTACGCATTCCCTATCTCAGAAGAAACATCATTCTGATGTCTAGAAAAGGTTTAATCTTAAAGGGGATTTGCAGTTTGAAACACAAGATCTCCGAGACGCCATGAAAGGGCTCAACACGACCTAAGCCTTATGGTGAAGACGAAGCCGATTATAAATTCACCCAACCGAGCACTATCCATACTACCCAACGTCGTCTCTCCGAGTCATCCTCAAACTGTCTTCCCTCTTCCCATTCTCGTACCCCGCTTCCATTGACTTCTCGTTCACTGATATTTACGACTCCTAGCCTCGGTCTGGTCTGCATACTGTCTCCTTTTGCGCCATTCTCCTCCAGAGGATTAATTGATTGCACCGTTCGAATAAAGCCAGCTAGAGTATATCGACCAGTGTGCAGCCCAGCAACAAGGTGTATGCGTGCCTCGACTGTACGCCGAAGAGCTGAATACAGGGTCTGTGCGAAGGCTTCATGTAGTGATGCGTTCCAGAGCGTGTCGGCCGCGATAATCAAGTCAAATCCTTCTGGTCCGGCGCTTCCATTGTGAGGAGGACGAAGGGTCGAGATATCCTCTCCCCATGCATAAGGAACTACGTGTACACGGTTTCGACCTGACGTCGTATTTTCTGGATGTATCGGCCCGTCGAATCCATTACGTTGGACATTTGCACGCAAAGTGCCAATAAGTATATCGTCCGGATAATCGCTCAGAGCAACAGTCCAGTCCTTTGTCCCTGTTCCTTCCGTTGGTTTGCCTTGCTTCACTCTCTCCAAGTACTTCGCTATGAGCAAACCCGGCAGTCCAGCACCGGCTCCTAACTCCAGTATGTCAAGGCTTTGGCAAGTCTTCGTACAATCTTCTCGGCCTCCTGAAACATGCATGAAGCCCTCTAGATTTATTTCTTCTACATGGTCCGCAAGGAATACAGATGCTGCCCAAATATTCGATGCATGCAGTTCCCAATTACGCGCCTGTGTATCGGGTGTTCGTAAGGTCAGTTTAATCGGATCAGACAGACGATCGAGTCGACGATATCTGTCTTCTTTTACATATGAACTTTGCTCATCGTCATTTACATGTACCCTTGGCCCAGGGTATGTATACGAAAACGTCGAGCCTGCTTCAGCATGGGTTATCGGAGTGTAGTTGTAGATGACTCCCAGAGAGGCTGATAGAATGTCCTCTGGTTCTTCGTGCCGTTCTGTAGATTCATCTGAGGCACAGTCCTGAGATGCGGATTGAAATGTCGAATATGCGCCAGGATCGGTAGAAAGCATTCAGTGCGGAATATGACAGTCGCTACGAACACATGACCGTTCTGGTTTGAACTTGATTGGTGGAAATTAGATTCGGCCCAATATAATAAATTCGGACTTTGCCGAACCAACATTATCTAATGCATCCGGCTTTCCAATGGCCATGGATTAAAAATTTAAAATACACAAATGCTTCTCGTATAAGTATGGCATTATTATACACAATCAATTAATCCTTTTAATCACTTCTACAATTTTCCTTTTCCCGCTTCTTCTCCAAACACTTCTATAAATGCATCTCCAATTTCGTCGATGAGGTCAGCTGTGATCAAACTCCTGCCCTTCTTCTTGAATCCTCTTTTCGAGATTGTACGAGTAACAATTGACGCGCCAGTTGCACCAAGGAACGGGATATGTGCCACTGGTATCCCTGCGTCATCTGGTGTGGGGCCCCATGCACCGTCCTCAAAGCATTTACCCCACGCCAGGAAGGTTCCAGCAGCGCCCGAGAGAATATCTCCTTGTCCTCCGCACCGTTTGAGTCCACCAGGAACGTCAACTGTAGTTGTCTGAGGCTCAGCTCCTGGAGATGATGGGTGTACGGCAATGAGATCCTCTGGGCCTTTCTGGATGATGGTAACGCCGCCTAGTTGTTGCGACACGAGCTGCGCGCGTTTAGATGGCTCAGTCGAGGGATCAATGTTCTAAGATGAATAAAAATGAGGTGTCAAATCTTATATAATTGATTGAATATGTACTTTGAAGTACTCACCACTGCCTCACTCAGACGCTTGAACTCGACAACGTTCGGGGTAAGCACCGCCTTCTCGTAGCCACTAATCACCTTCGGATCGTTTCCGACCAAAAACAACGCGTCCGCATCAAGAACAAGGTACATCTTCTGTTCTCGCGCGAGCCTAACCGCAATGCGGGCATATTCCTGCATATAATCCTCCCGTCCCAACCCTGGTCCAACGATTAGGACATGCAACCGACGCAGTAAGGAGTCGAGTTCAGATTTAACGGAATCGCGCGGCCTTTTGGATACATGGATCAGAACATGTAATTTGTTTCCAAGCCGAGCAGAACTGCGCACTTATCCTCGCGAAGAATGGGGTGAACAATAAGATCGGGCGCATAGCCCTTGATAGCGCCTGCCGCCGTCGGGGAGCAAATGACGTGTGACAGATCCGCACCCTGCACAGGGACTTCTATCAGTAAATGAGGTGTTAAGGAGACAGTCCGATGAACTGACCAGCCTCTGTGATGAGATCGCAGCAAAATAGGGTGCGCCAGTGTAACTATTCAGATCATCATCAACTTCGATAGCAATACGGTAGTGATTTGGGATATACACTTACTCAAGTGCACCCCCGAGTACTCCGACCCTCCCTGGATACATGCATTCAGTCTGGGATATGTCAAGAAAACCTGTGCTATACAGACCCGATTGTCCCTTGTGTAGAGTACCGTTCAGTGGCGGAATCAGCTGTTTAATCTGCTTGAAGAGCGAGTCCGAAAGAGGCATCTTAGCTACTTTTTCTTTCTCTATTTCGTTCTAATTGCGATGATTATATTGACCCAGCAAGAGTCAAGTGATGATGCAGTCATATTGAATAGCTGGAGGCATGATGAGGTCATAAAGGAGTGTGAGAGCTCACTTCCGTTTACGAAACTACAATTTAGCTCTTGCCTATCTCTGCTGGAATTCGAAATTGAAAAGCGATACTGTCCTGCACACCTTCATAAATCCTAAATGACGCGCTTATACACTGCTGAGATTGCGAGGAAACAAATACATTGCCTCACTTTATGCAACATTCTCGTAAACCTTACATGTCTCATTTCTTTTATGTGTTATATTTGTACTTTGCGAGCTCATCTACACATCAAATACTGCAGAAATTATCAGAGAAGACCAATTAACACAATATGTCCAACCAATTCATCAAACTTGAATTAGGCACTCTTCCTTCCATTCTGCTAATAGTTCCTCATACTCTCTTCTGCCCAACTTAGGATGTCTTGGCACAGGCAGATGTGCTTCAAGGCCGCCAATCCGTAGACCCCGGACGGACGTGACGAAGCCCTGCGCCTGCCGTCTGTATCCCATAAGTCCAGTGCCACAGCCATAGTATGGTTCAGTCCCATGTTGCAGTACGATAGTTTGAAGCTTTCCAGGCAATATCCGATTCTTCATGGACCCCTCCCATTGCTTTCCGAATAAACCTTTAAGTATATCCTCGACTGATCGCATGTGCAAGTGACAGTCGCAAATAGTCAGGTGCTGTATCTCCTGAGTCCCGGTAATCAGGGTCGCAAGAACCGGATGGATGCGCTGACACTGGACCTGCTCGTATTTCTCTCCGTTCAAGAAAACTGAAGATACGACGTGCAATTTTCTGAGTGACGGTAACACAGGAGATTGGAATGAAGAGTCACGGCCGCTAAACCAGGCGCTTTCACTAACAGCGTTATGGTTCACTGCCAGAAAAACAAGGTTTGGAAATGTTGCATTATTAAGCGCTCCCAACACCTTTGGAGATGCGTCTGGCGTCCCTTTGTACGAGCGGTTCGGGCGGTCCCATAACCTTGCAGAGATAAGGCATAAAGTCTTTAGCTTTGGGCCGGCGCGCTTTATCAGCGTGGAGGCTTTGTTCCAAAAATCAACGGTGTGGCTGTTGTAAAACTCCCTGGTAATTCTTCCTTCTTCCGTTCCCCAGTAAGTACTAACAATGCGGCCCTGGGGTACAGCGATGTCAACGGCAAGAGCATGTTTCGCTGTCAGCTCGCTGATAAAGAGATGCTCGACATAAAACGGTGTTTTGTTTGATCCAGGTTCCGTTGTCGAACCATATAGTTTCTCGAGCCTCACGAAGTACCATTGAAGCTGCTCGATACCCGAAATCTTGATCGTCCGTAGTTCGATAGGTTCTGCAATGGCTCGGAAATGTTTCGACACGAGGCCGAGACGACGAGCAGTTTCTCCAAAGTCATCAGAACATGCATACTTGAAGGTATGAGATAACAGCTCGATAGGCCAGGTAACCATCGTTGGGTTCAGAGACGTAAGACGTTAGAGCGTGCCAGCGATTGGTGTGAGAGCTCGTTGTAGTGAATGAGGGTTAAGCACAAGCTGCCTTGCTGTAGCGACGACCGTGTGAGGTTCACACACGTAGGCAGTGCTTTTGATCATGCACATTGATGCAAAGCCTTCAGTTAGCAACTGGGGCTTCCCAACATCGGACATCATGATATTTAGCACATGCAGGCACGTGACCGTGCATTGAGAACATTTTAAAATTTACATCGTAGTCAGTGTAATTTCGACTTCATTGAGGAGGTCGAGGCAGCGTTATCTGGCCTAGAAGCTAATTATCCTCGTTCACAGTGACTAACACCGTAATCTGCCAGAATGCTCCCTAGCTTTTGCCTATCTCTGGAATTCGAATTAAAAGGCGATTCTGTCGCGCACGAGTTCATAAACCTTATACGACATGCTCGTAGGGAAACAGATGAATTGTCTCAATTTATACGACATTCTCGTGAATCTTACATGCCTCATTGCTTTAATATTATATTTGGTACTTCGCAAGTCCACCTGCACGTCTAATGCCGTTCACTGGTCTTCATGGGTTTCTACAGCGGAGTTACTATCGCAAATTGTCAGCTGCAATTTGAGAATGGTTTGACGCATGACTCACCGTGATCACAGTCGGCTTGTCACGTCCCAAGAACTCTTTAAGTTGGCTAATGGACAGAGCGACCTCAATGAGACCTTTAAGGCCCTCTGCAGTCTCTTGCCCGTATTGCTTCACATCCTTTGTATACTTCTCCACGTACATACGTACAGTCGCACCCTGGCTGCCAGTACCACTCAGGCGGAACACGACACGAGAGCCGTCGGAGAACCGTACAATCTGACCCTGGTTCTTGGATACACTTTTATCAATCGGGTCTGTGTAGTCAAAGTTCGTCGTCTCCGATACAGTGAATGATTCACCCGTTGAAGCCTTGAACTCCTTGCCCAAAAGCGAGCCATCAGCAATGTGCTTATTCAAGGCATCGACCATCTTTCCCGCCGCATCTGATGCAACTTCCTCATAGTCGTAACGTGAGAAGAAAGAACGACCATATTTTTCATAATGATCCAGCTGGATCTCCTTGATACCGACAATCTTGCCGGGTGACTTGTTGTTCGCCGCAGCGAGAATGTTCAGCCAAGCGACGATTGCCCAAATCCCATCTTTCTCGCGGATATGATCGGACCCGGTCCCGAAGGACTCCTCGCCGCAAATGGAGAGACGTCCCGCATCCATGAGGTTACCGAAGAATTTCCAGCCTAGAATATTCTTCAGACTGGAATATTCAACCGTCAATCACGGAGAAAGAAAAAACTCACCAGTAGGAACCTCAAAATACTCAATGCCCTTCTTCTTTGCCACATAGTCGATAGCAGCGCTGGTAGGCATACTGCGCGCGAGACCTTTGATACCAGACTTGAAGTACGGGATGCAGTCTTCCGCCCAGTCAGCAATAATTGCGACAGAGTCGCTCGGAGTTACGAAAGCACCCTTTCCGTAGATCATATTTCTATCACCATCGCCATCACTAGCAGCTCCAAATTGGATATTATTCCCCTCCACTGCTTCGACAAGAGTGTGCGCATATGTCAGGTTTGGGTCTGGGTGTCCGCCACCAAAGTCAGGTAATGGGACACAGTTTTGGACTGATGTCTCGGGCAACTGAAGCGTATCTATAAGGATAGCTCGCGCATAAGGCCCTGTAACACCGTTCAGGCCGTCAAACAGTACACGGAAGTCCAGAGTCTTCTGGAGGAATTCCTTTATTAGAGAGAAATCAAAGATGCCCTCTAGCAGTTCGAGGTAATCTGACACAGAGTCAATGATCTCCACATCCGTTGGTCCATACTTCGTTTTCCCAATGCTTGAAAGATCCACCTTGCAATAAGAGTCCGATTACCAGACGATCGAAGAAACAATTACACTGCGTATACGTTGTACTTACTGGCGGACACTCAAGGACCTTGTAACTCGTGATCTCCTTCGTTCTCTTGAAGATTAAGTCTGTAACACTTTCTGGAGCAGGTCCACCATTCGACATGTTGTACTTGATGCCGAAATCATTGTTCGGTCCTCCTGGATTATGGCTAGCCGTGAGGATGATGCCACCGTAAGCCTTGTACTTGCGGATGACATTCGATGCCGCAGGTGTAGACAGAATCCCGTCCTTTCCGATGAGGAACTTGCCCACCCCATTTGCAGATCCAATCTTGAGGATAGTCTGTACGGTCTCGGGCACGAGGAAACGACCATCGCCACCGATGACCAGTGTTTGGCCCTTCGCATCTACGGAATCGAAGATTGACTGAATGAAGTTCTCGGTGTAATGCTAGACGCGGATGAGCTTGTTGCGTCGCAATCATTGTAGTCACGTCCTCACCTCCTGCTGGAACACTTTCACCCTGCGAATTCATCATGCACGCACGATGACGGCCATCCGATCAGCGCGGTATTTGACGCGTCGGTAGAGCGAGTCGCGTACCTCTTCCGCAGCCCTGATGTTCCGGGCTTCTGACCATCAAACGGGTTTGTCTGTATTTCTTTGATGTGCACGGACATGATGCGCGCTGAAGAGAAAGAGAGATGCAGCGTTCGTGCGATACTTATCGACAGACAGCGATGTGCCACTGCACAATTAGTGACGCAAATTTCCATTGCAAGTCCGTTTTTGGTAAGCCGGCTATATCCGACAAACGTGTTGAAGTTGAACAATTTCAACAGTGACTACTGCTCAACTTTGCTATCCTGAACTGCTTCCAGTCGTGCTTGTTGCTGCTCGGATGCTGAAATCTCATGTGCATCTTAATCAATCTCTACTGGCAGTGCCTGTGTAGCTTTGTCTCTAGATGAACCAAGTCATTCGAATGCACCGCGCTCATTAGTTGCTCTCCTTTGAAACGCTGACTGATCTACCTTTCTATGATATCGGACACCAACAAACCAAGAGTGTCGACCATGGATTAATTATTCTTGATCCGCTCGTTTCTCAGAGCATTTGCTCTAGCTTGCTGATGAATCATAATTGTCTCATGACCCCGAAGAACGGCCTATCGACTTCTCCGATGAGGTCCTGTGCGAGCGGCACTAAACGGAGAGCTTGCGATGTTGTTCGGCGTTGCGACTGATATGAGCTTACGATCTCCTGTTTCGTTGACCTGTACCACAACTTGGCGAGGAAGGACACCGGCATCTCGTATCCGGATGATCACGGAAGACGACAACACTTGTTGCAGGGCAACCAATACTGTAAGGCATACTGTAAGGCACTGTTTTCGACATCTCGCTGCCGTTCCCCGCGAAAAGGCGTAACCACCGTGCGAAGTAGTTATCTACCTTCCTACTGTCTTGGTAAGTTCGTCATCTATCATCGCACATCCTTGTGTGCTATTTGGGGAGCTCTATTGAGCATGACTGTCTGTCATGATGCGTTTTGATAATTTACTTTTCAATTCTATTGTTTCTAACAGCATCTGTTGACCTCATACGACCTGGACCTGACAAGCTGAACCGAACACGAAACGTTGCCACAAATTATCATGGGAGTCGACCGACGCGTCGCGCGAACTGTAACTCAACGATAGATCCTGAGTGTATCTCACGTTCCGCAGGCATCCAGCTTGGTGGCTCATTACGCTACATCTAATAGCTGCGCATGACATTTCAAACATGTTTTCTGCGTTCCTGATATACTTATGGCCGTCTCGGACCATGTTCTTCCCGAGCTATTCGTCACGGAGATTCCAGAATGTGGGCCTGAGTGGCTCATCTTAGTCTGATAAGAATGTTCTATTCATGTTTCGTGGGTAGATGCCGAAGGTATGTCTGAATCCTGACGATAAAGTTGGCCCTAGGAACAATGAGACTTGGGTAACATGACTCTAGGGACGGGAGTGGACGAAGATGGTCAAAGGTACGACTAACTTATTAGCACTTTCAAAGTGTTGATACTGCATTCAAGTGAGGCTTTGGATTATTTTTCTCATGATTTATCCCACAGTGTAAGTTTCAGAAATTGCACTGTCAATGAAGTCCGGTTAACTCCGGTTAAAGTCAGTAGAGTTTTCCCACAGTTTCGGGGCACCTTGATTTGCGCTAACTTTCGGTCCTGATCCCGACCACCGTGGACGAAACGCTTGCTGAAATAACTTTCTTACGTTGATAGTAAACGAGACAGGAGATAGAACATTACTTTTGCACGATACACCCGATTCTTCGTTGCTTCCGACGCGATTTGCTCATCTCGATGAGATCAGCGCCCGCTGTGCCCCATGTCAGGAGTATGTTGTCAAGTTAAGTACTCTTACAAGATCTTGGCTATCGGAAATTGAACAAACCTGTACTCCTTATGTGCGCTGTGATATCCACATTTGTCGATCTCTGTAGGTGAATGTACGCCGATGAACCAAGCCAAGAACGTCTGAACGCAAATGTGTCTCATGGAGATATCTACCCACGACATCACGTCGCTAACACGACTGTCGGACGTTTCCCACAGTCGAAACTCCTCCCCGCCCTGTCTGTCGGTTCCGCGGCCGCTTTCAATTGAAACGTACCTTTTCTTGCTCCCACCCCGCCAACAGGGTGATCACTGTCATTTTCCCACTGATCCTGCGTGCCTTGTATTAGCGCTTACGGTGTTAGATGCACTTCTCGGCTTCCCGGCCCTTTCTATGAAACTTATCTGGAAAGATGCGCTTTTCTGCGATTTGTTGTCGAACTGCACAGTGAACCTAGAAAGGCTATACGTATGTTGCAATCTCAATTAACACCCATCCACCGCTTTCGGAGCCACCTGTTACGGAATGCACGTCCGTTCCGTCGCGCGAGTTTCATCAATCCCTGGCACAAGTGCTGCAGAAATGTCTCTGTCATCTTGTCCATTAAGCGTATAAAAAGGCGATAGGACAGAGAGATCTGACAGCGTTCCCTGGACCGCGAAACCCTCCTTTGACTTATACCTTTTGCTTTCAGCTTGAATCACAATGTTCAAGGCGCCTTTGGTATCGTCACTACTTTCCTTTACTCTAGCACGGTTGGCGAGTGCTGCCACTGTGTCGACGGATTTGACGATTGCCAACGCGAATCTTGCCCCTGATGGTTTCACCAGGTCGTAAGTCGATTTGCTCCAAACGTTAAGGATAGTATTCAGGGTGACTCTTCCAGGACTGTCGTTGCCAATGGCCAGTTTCCTGCGCCTCTCATTTCTGCAAATGTCGGAGATAACCTCTTGATCAACGTGCACGATAATCTCACCGACACTTCGATGTACCGCGCTACCTCTATTGTAGGCAACATCAAAGTCAATAATGATTAATGCTAACTCTCCTTCAGCATTGGCATGGCTTATTCCAGAAAGGTTTGCTTCAATGACGATTAGCTCCTCGGGTAACTGGCATTCAGCTTGCTTATATTTAGGTACCACGGAAATGGATGGACCAGCCTTTGTTTCTCAGGTACGTCCCGACTGGTTCTGTTATGGAATATAAAGTTAATTGACTTTGTCATGCAGTGCCCTATCATTCCGGGAAACTCGTTCCTGTAAGCGATCATCACCGACGTCCAAGTCGATCACATTCATTACCTTATTGATGCTGTCTTTCAGGTACAATTTCAGCGTCCCTGGCCAATCTGGAACGTATTGGTACCACAGTCACTTGTCGACGCAGTACTGTGATGGATTACGGTACGTTTTGTTGTAGATCTTGAGCGCGGTGTCCTGATGTTTGGTACCCCAGTGGACCTTTGGTACTCTATGATCCGAATGATCCACATGCCAGCCTTTATGATGTCGACGACGGTGAGTTGCATGCTGTTTTGTTTTGTCCTGGACGACATTGATATCCTCTCAGCGTCGACTATAATTGTTTTGGCCGATTGGTATAGAAATGTTGCGCCGAGTCTCTTCCCTAATCAGGTATGCATTACGCCGGTTCATCCATAACTGGTACTGATGTCGCACCTTTTAGGGCCTCGTGGATCCGTAAGAGTCTATTTCGCGGAGTCCTGGATGATTAACTTACACTGCCATGAAGGACCCCCGATACCACAACTATTAATGGTCTTGGCAGAAATGCGAATGGTGACGGAACAGAGCCGTTGGGCGTCGTGAGCGTTACTCAGGGTAAACGGTATGTCGAACGCGAGGCTGGAAGTTTTCCGTTTCTCTAACTGTCCTTGCATAGCTACCGTTTCCGTGTTGTTAGCACAAGCTGCTTCCCGTCGTACGTTGCACCCCTTCCTTGACCGCAGATCATATCCACTAAAACATAAAAGATACACGTTCTCCATTGACAACCATCCCCTGACTGTGATCGAGGCTGATGGTGTTGAGACCGAGCCCGTTACTGGTACGTTTTCTTCAAGTATACAGCAAGATTCAAACTTACAACTCATCTTCAGTTGACCAATTGGTGATCTTTGCCGCACAGCGCTACTCCGTGGTCGTTAACGCGAACCAGTCCGTTGATAACTATTGTAAGTACATCTCTAAATTTTGTCAGCTGGTTTATTCATGACGAATGTTCGTAGGGATCCGTGCTCAACCTTCGGTCGGCACGACCGGTTTCACGAATGGAACCAACTCGGGTATCTTGCGTTACGATGGTGCTAGCAATTCCGATCCAACATCTATTCAGAACATGGAGGGTACTACACTTAATGAGGCTGATCTTCATCCTCTCGTCAACCCAGGAGCGGTAAGAGCGCATTAATTAACGTTGGCCTGTGCTGACGCAGCATTGTCTAGCCTGGCCAACCGACTGTCGGAGGCGTTGACTTAGCACTCAATTTGCCGATCGGTATTGTGCGTTCTTCGTTGTTACGCGTATAGCTCATCGATTCTGACTGGTATCAAATCACCACAGAACCTTACTACTGGTGAACATACAGTAAATGGCGTGACGTATCGTCAACCAAGTGTACCTGTTCTCCTGCAAATCCTCAGTGGAACAACGGATCCTACCAACTTGTTGCCCACGGGTTCAGTTTACGGTCTTCCCGGAAACTCATCAATTGAAATTTCGCTACCAGGTGGATTCCCTGTAAGTAGTCTGTTCAACTTTTCGAGTGGACTAAGACTAACATTACATCACAGCATCCGGTTCGTTTTGTTAATAAGCAAGTTCGTGTGCTCTTGATCTCATTGTATTTAGATCCATTTGCACGGCCATACCTTCGATGTTGTCCGAGTGGCAGGACAAAGTGACTACAACTATGTCAACCCTCCCCGTCGCGATGTGGTCAGCATCGGCACGGCAAGCGATAATGTGACGATTCGCTTCACCACAGACAATGCGGGTCCCTGGATTATGCACTGTCACATCGACTGGCATTTGGAGGCGTGAGCATCTGACTGGTTCTGGAAATTGAACGGCGGGGCTGACTTTTAAACAGCGGTCTAGCAGTCGTTTTCGCTGAAGATACTGGCAACATCGCATCGCAGAATCCAGTTAACAGTAAGTGTATCATGCATGCATTGTGTATTCTTTGGCTGACACTTTTCCCCAGATGACTGGCAACAGCTCTGCCCAGACTTCAACGCTAACAACCCCGACGCAGGCTTCCCTGGCATTCCTTAAGTACACAATGCGAAGGCGACCGCTACAATGTTCGCTCTGAAGTCCCTCGTCTAATCCAAGTAACTCTCACATTTTATTATCTCGCTGTGGACATTATTTATCAGGGCTTCGCTGGGGATCTGGTAATTAAGAATATGTATACCTTTGCTTTCTTTCGTTTTCGGCTTTTGTGCCTGGACTTTCTTTAATTAATTGCTTTGTGGGAATTGGCATCTAGTTACCATTGACTGTAAAGTTACAAATAATAACAAATACTTGTGCCAGAGAATTGTGCACTTTGCAGTGTGTGCTTGTCAGATAGCTGTCAGATATTATAAGAGGTCAATTGTAATAAACGAAGTTTGGCCACGTGCCTTTGCCCTTTCATCACGTGTTCCGTGGCACAACACTTGATCAACGTCACTCTTTCCTTGCTTGATACTGTTTCGTAACAATTGACACCATTTACCTACATGCAATCCAGGTGGCGAATCAATACTTCGAGTCTTTGTGTGTAGTGCTTAACTGTCTGCCCTGTCAGTTAATATTATCGGCGCGGATTGTGTAAGGCAGTCATGACGAACAACTCGGCCCCAGCTGCCTTAGAACTCACGCATGTTCTCTGTACGTTCCGGAGTTTGTTCTTTGGTTAATGTGGCCATGCTGACGTGTTATTTGTACTCCCAGATGATCCGGACTCGCATGTTTCGCTCGCACTCGCCCTCGTGACCTTAAGTCCGATACTATTGATGGTATACTCGTTGATATGTAGTTTTAATGACCTGTAGGACTTAGAGGCATTCTTCTAGGCATCATATGCTGCGCTTGCTGTCGTGACGCGTGATCTACTTATAATACATATGTGGGCTGGGTGAGTGCCACCTAGTTGTATAAACTAATATGTTCTCAATGGCTTGCTAGGCAATTTGCTTGTGAAGGATTCAATTGGTTATTAAAGCATCTCGTCAAGCAAGGGAGGCCTCCTGGTACGTTTCTAAATCCCGGATGACGAAGTTCTTACCGACAATTGGTGCTTCTGCAGAGAGCCTTGGCAACGGTTACGGGTTTCCTTCCTCGCATAGTCAATACATGGGTTACTTTGCGGCGTTTCTTTACATGCATTTATTTTTCCGGCATCGATTTACCTCTACCGGATACTGGATCATTGACACGCTATGGAGGGTTCTTGTGTATATTGGACTGGCTGTGTGGACAGGAATCGTTTGCTATTCACGGTTCGATCTATATTTCAAACATGAAAACGCAAACTAATTTTGTGTATCTCTCTAGCCTTTACCTCACATATCACACAATTAGGCAGATTTTATGGGGAGCCGGAGTTGGCGTAGCATTGGGTGTTCTAACATATACTGTCACGGAACTAATACCGTTTTTCTACCCGGACTCACCGCTTGGCCGTTTTCGAAGAATCTTCTTGTCGCACCCGATCATAACTTGGCTTCGAATTAAGGATGGATGGGCTATCTGGGAAGATGGCGGGCGTGAGGCAGAATGGCTTGAATGGAGGAGGAAGTGGGAGACGAAGAATCAATCTCGTTTGAAGAGGGAATAATTCCAGCACACTTCCGGTCTTACGCGCATCTTGTTACTAGAAATTCACCACGCTCATAACTGCAATAATGTTGCATTTTGTAAAATAATCTCAGTAATTTTCCGACTTCTGTCATGCCCTCTCTGTCATGCCCTGTGTACTACCGCTTGTTTGGACTGTTGCTGTGTGTCACTCTTCTCACTGATTAGGAAACGCTCATTTGTGCCACCGCCCGCCCCAAACCTGCCCAATATATCTTCTTGAAAAAAAAAATCGTGCATAGACGGTGCTTGTATCAATATAGTTGCACGATTGAGCTCAGAAATCTAGGTATAACTTAAGACACAGGCCTCAAAGTAATGAAACTTTGAGAGAATTGTGCACGGTTGAAATTCTTTAAGTGAGTACTTTCCTTCCCCCATAAGTAAGCGTTTCTGACTTCTTTAACTGTAAGCTCATTTTAATTCTAGAATTCGGTATTTCACAAAGTAAGTATATATAATATACGTATTAAAATTAGATATATCTACAAGTATATCATTTGTTGCACAAAAGCGGCTTTTAAAATTGACAGGATAAATAGGGTGAGTGCTTCTGGGCGAAACATCTTATATTTGTGGTAACAAAGCCCGTGAGAAAAACTCAAGGCAGCAACCAGTAGCGCGGTGGATAACTAGCCGCGTCTCCGCCAGGTACCTTCTTCGTGCTCTTACCAAACCGCACATTTGCATTTGCATCGCCTAATAGACTAGATCATATGGCTTCAGACTTGAGAGCTCCAGAGAGGTATGTCTGTTTCCTATAATTCTCTCGCAGGCGGTGAGCTTACCCGTCAACGTCTAGACCATCAGTGAAGGTCACATATACCAAGAAGGTGAATCTTCACCACTTTGCACGACGGAAAATATATGTGGATGCAGATGCTGACTTCCGTTTATGAAGAGGAGACCGAGTGGGAATGACGCAGCTGCGGAGTAAGTTACGCATATTCTAGTTGCGCATATTTCGTTCGTGCTCTAAGTTAAGGTGTCTGACCGGCATTGTACAGAGAATCAGAAGCGTCTGCTACCGAGGCAGAATCGACCAAGGCTCCAGGTGGACTCAACGTGAGTGTCAGGCCGCTTCCATGTAATGTACACCAGCTGACATTCTCTCTCGCAGGCTGTAGTAGACATTCCAGGCAAGAAGTCCGGCAAGCACATCGGACCACTAAAGTATGCAACGGAGGCGAATCACTAGCATTTGCAATATTCGTACTTATTATCTTCAACCGTTCAGCCTCCCTGGTCCGGAACCGCGTGCGGGTTCGAAGGGGAAACTTAATGAGAATGACTCCTCGCCTCGCGCTCCGAGAACACCAGGCAAAAACCCCAAACCACCATCGACTCTTAGCGCCAAACTTTCACTCGCTTCAAAGTGCGTCCTACACTGCGAAATTTTTAATAATCAGCCTGACTTGCGACATTCAGACACGGGTTCACAGCGCCAGATGCGGACATCAAGGCGTTACCTTCTACGCCTGACTTGTCCGACAAGGAGGGCTCCTCTCGAGCGACACGCACAACAGAAGCCGAGCGACGCGCCTACTTGGAGTCCCAACCTGATGTCGCGGAGCTGGAGCCACATCGTGTACTGTGCCGATGTTGTAACAAGTGGCTTAAGTTGAGCACAACGCAGAAGTATGCACTTGCGCCATGGAAGCTGCACAAGAAATCCTGCACTGCTGAGTACGATTATCTCCTTTCTCCGGGATCACTTGCTAATAGGATATCACAGAAAACCGAGCAGTAAAGGCTCCCGTCGGAGCATGGACTTTGAGGGTTCCCTCCTAGCAAGTGGCGCAGAAGACGACGATGCGTCATCTATCGCCCCGTCCATATCTGCGTCTGAAATGACCCGTGCCTCCGCAGCGGGTCACCGCCTTTCGGCAGCGGAACGTCAGCGTATATTAGAGGAGGATGAACTATCTGGCGAAGTGCGCCCTGACACTATATATTGCTCAGGTTGTGCAAAATGGGTCAAACTCGCGACTCGTTCGACATACCAACTCAAGAATTGGATAACGCATGTACAACGTGTACATGGACAAAGTGGGGAAAACCCAGGAATGGGCGGTGGAGTGGGTGCACCTAGTAGCCGCGTCCGGGAGGCGGAGAGGAAGTTACAGCTTGTAAACGACGCTCTGGCGCGAGATTTCACTCCGTCAAGGGTGACTTGTAAAGTGTGCGCCACTGACGTACCGCTTAGCGATACAGTACCATATCAGTTAGACAACTGGCTAGCGCACAAGTCGGTCTGTCCCGCGTAGGTCTTTTAACTTCCCGTGCATGATATTTCCTAATAGCACCCTCCTTCAGACGCACCTCCGCCGTCGACTCGCCCACCGCGACACGCTCGGCCGATTTAAATGGCGATTCCAGACCAGATTCTGTGCCTGAAATTTCGAATGCTTCTTTGATTTCAAGTAAGAGCTCCGCGGCGCGCGCACCGCCATCCAGGGCGTCCACAGACGCAACATGCGTTGCAGTGGATAGCGGTTCAGGCATTGCTTCTGTTTCTTCCTCGCTGGCCGTTGGTCGAAAACGCGGACGTGAGGAGGACGAGAACGAGGAAGGGGGAACAGATGCCGTTCGTGCACGGACTGCGTCTTATATCACCCCAGATATAAAGCCGTCTGGGCCATGGGGTTGGTTGAAGTTGCCGTGGGAGACGTTCAAGAGAGGCTTTGCAGAGGGCCTCGGGGTAGGCCGGGGGGAAGACTCGAAGACGGAGAAGCAAGAGGAAAAATAAAATACTTCCCTGAACTCTGTATTCGTTATGGCCTGTTGAAGTGCGGGATGCCTGTCAGCGTTTAGTAGCTAGTAGACGCATTGTACTGCTGACTCTTGTAGGCGTATTGATTTGAGAGGTAATATATCAATTTGGGACTATCGGCTGTACATGAGGCGGGAGTGTGCTTTAAGATGAATTCTGCCAGAAGCCCGGCACGTCGCCCAAAGAAGGACGGCGAAGTGTCCCATTATCACTTGCCCCTCGCCCCGAGTCCATGACTTTCGCACATCGTCTCCTATATAAACCTCCAGATGCCTGCGCTCCCCCCTTCTTCTTTCTCTTCCAAGGCCGCGCCTTTGTGAGTTCCCCCTCTCGCTCATCAGCCTTACGGCCGTGCGAGTCTAGCGTGCAGTGCTGATTCGACGGATTTGTACTACCCAAAGACCGGAAGCAGAACCTGACCGCGGGATACGAGCCCAGCGTGTCGACTACGTGCGTCTATCTCTGCCTGCTTTGTTTGAAATTATACTGGGGGTGGCTGTTTGGCTCGGCTATGTCCCCCTCCCAAACAAGTGTAATTGCTCCGCTGAGCCTTTCTTTCTCCGCTCCCCCCTCCACCCCCTCCCTCCTTCCCCTCATCTCGTCTGGCAAGCGTTGCCGCATAGTCCAGCAGCTCTGACCCCGACGCGATTTTCGTAGAGAGCGTTAGCCGGCGGAAGGCCGACAAGGTCCACTTTGAGGTGAGTGTCCTTTTCTGCCGCCAACGAACATGCGCCCGCATCGTTCTCGCCTCCCCCCCTGTTTCCCTGCGTCCCCCCTCTCACAAACTCCCCCCTTTCGACGCGATGAGACTTGGAATACAACGACAGCCGCTGACTTGCCGAATAGTGACAAGAGGGAAGCCGTTGGCGATACGATGGGTACGATTACGACCGCACAGACCAAGTGGGTTCCCCCCTCTCCGTTCTCCCACACTCCCTAGCTCAAACCTTGTCTATACAGCGCGGAGAGTCGCGCAAAAGCGCATGCAGCGCGTACGGCATCGCGAGAGCAACGTTTAAGGTCCCACCCGCATGCCGAAGTATTAGGACCAGAACTCGTCTCTTGCAAGTTATGTGGTGCGTCGTGCTCAACCTCGGTCCTCCACCCCCTCCTCCAGTGCTCAACCCCAACCCAGGCCAGTTAATTAAATTATCGACGAAAAGCATGTGGGATGGATTCCATTGGCAGAAACATATTGAGTGAGGCTTTACCGAAATTATCCTGAACAATCTTAGAAGATAACACAACATCTTGAACACATTTCTTTCAAACACAACAGGCGCTGCGTACGTCGAGCCCCTGCTGCCCGTGAGCAACGCGTCATTCGGGCTGCGGAGCGTGTCCGTGATCTTATTGTCCTATTACTAAGCCTTCACCAAATCACTCACTCCTCGTCACAGAAAAAACGGTCGAAAATAGCAAAGGATGACGATCAAGAGTCTGAGAAGCGTGCTACACTCACGATTCGTTTGCGTACAAAGGGACCTGCTGAATCGTCTCCCAACCCCAGCTCAGCGTCTGACTCCGTGCAAGTTAAAGAAGAAACCCCCGAAAGGGATATTGACATACATGCACCCTCCTCATCTCACTCACGCTCTTCGCCTTTACCCGAGACGCCCCCGCCACCCTCTGCGGCCCCACCAAGACCAGAGTCGAACATCGTAATGGAGGATTATTATCGTCGATCACGTCGTCGAGGGACACGAGAGTTGAGTCCGTTTACGCTTGAAGCTGCTAGTGCATGGACGTGGAGTCAAGTGAAAGAACCTGTATGGGTTGTTGCTAGCTACCCGGCGTCGGAATCGCAGGACAGCGAAAACTCGCCTAATGCAGAAAGGGGCGGAGAAACGAGTCGTGCTACGCTGGAAACCTATGCTAGTGATAAGTGGAGCAAAGCGCCGTCCTCAGCTGCCTACACCACGCGCGAAATCGGGTTTTCAATCAGGAAAGACGCGTCATGAACCAATCGCGCTTTCGAAAATTTCTTGCTCTCGTCACGGCGTATTCTCGCTTGATCGTCTCGCGATATGCTATCAGCTCTTGTCTCGCTATTCCTCTGCTTTCCGTTTCTCGAATTCGTTCAAGTCAATTTCTTTTTGCTCTGTACATCGGCTTTCATCACGCTTCAATTAAGCATTCCATTCCATCTGTACCATTATCAATGTCTATATCTTCTATGTCTCGCATACGTAACCGAAGTTCGCAATATTTCTATGTTATGGCGCATCGACGATTTACCTTTTCCTTTCTTTCCCGCCATTTCCATGGACTTCATGTTTGTAATGTTCTTTTTTTCGCCCGCTATTGGTGTCATGTTACTGTTTCTTGTACTTCGCGGTACCGATGAATGAATTATCTGGCTTGCATCTTATGTTTAAATATGTGTGCATCAAGTTTTCCCAATTAGTCTATTATGGCTCCCGTGATCATTCATTGAGGATCATGTCGAGGAGATGATTGCAAGAACCGGACCAAAGACGTTCGCTTCTGTGTATTTGAGACGATTCTTATTCTGCTACAGCGGCTGCACCTGAGAAACAGGAGTCCACCCATTTTGCGCCATGTATTTTGCGCCAATATCATAGGACACTTCTTCCGTAAAAGTAAGGAGCTGCCTGACATATCCACCTGTATGGAACCATACGGGCCTAGGGCTTAGGCTCATTGGGCGAGAGTCTGTACACTCAAGGAACTGGGGGTGAATGTAGCGTCGTAGAGTACTTCACCAATATGACAATGAACTAGGAAACGCCTAGACTGCAAGTGGACAAAGAACAAGCGGCGAACTACCGTTCAATTTCTTATTTGGGCCGAGATGAAGACACGAGTCGCGGAGCTTTCGTATTGGTCACTTTTCTGCTCTAGAACACTCGCTTCCAGCCTGGTTCTGATTGGTAAATGATATGGTCCTAAGGTCTGGAACTACCAATCTCATTCAGTGCTCTTATCGCCTCCAATCGAAGCTAGGTAATGCAACATACACCCGGGATTCCTTCGGGTTCACTTTGTTCCCTCGTCTATATAGATGCTGAGAAGGTTTCGCAAACATGCTGTGGTGTACTGAGAGCTATTCCAATGTGCTGAGTTCCTAACGGGCATTGGCAAGCACCACACTGTGCAAAATGCAAAGTATCCGAAGCTAAGTTCTTCCCTCTTCAGAACCACTTCCAGCAAGCCATATGATCCGTCTCATGTTCAGAAGTTCCGGAGGAGCTTTGCAAAGCAAAGTAATGGCCGGCATTGGGTCGCCAGAGGATCCGTCCAAGTGCACCTCAGCGATACTCCAGTCGCCTGAGGAGAAGAGAGAACTTAGGGGTAAGACATTCGCTAGATTGGAGTAACCATTGGGATAGCATTTACCAAGGAGCATGGAAGAGAAAATACATCCGTAATTCCAATTGCAATGGATGAGGTTAATCTTTGACACCGGAAGCAAACTTACGTTTAGGCGGAGTCATAAACTTTGGCACGTTGCACGTGAACCTAGCACGTGACCACACACTACCTTTTACTGGCCCACCATTGATATAAAACGATGTGATTCCACCGTTTGATACCAGACTTACCCACCGACGACTTGGTATTCATGCATTGAATTAATCAAGGGACCCAAGCAGGTCCCCCCAGGTGGTGCATTGATGTTCATGGTCTAATGAGAGTTGGCCCATCGGGTCATCGATGTTCCACAGAACCCCACCGTTTTAGCTTTGTATGTGCTATACTCTATAGGTAGCGTACCGCCTTCATTATGAACATCGTTTCATTTATGGATTCGTGTATTATCACACATGGGTACTTCCTTTCATCCGTCTTATGGATTTGCCAATTGGTTGGAGATATATGCCATTTAGACCCGTCGGGATGGTGCACTCTTTATGTCCGCTTACTCCTGGGAGACGAGGCTACGGGTTAATTGAGACGTCTTCTACTCGCATATATACTGTCAATGGTGACTGTATGAGCCCTTTTGGCTGATTATTTCTTTCTGTGTATTGCTATTACGCCTGGCAAGGGATCGCATTGGGAAATATTATTCCCACGATCGCTGGCTTTCCTAATCTGGCAGGCCGCAGTAGCGGTGCTTCAACACACCACTCTTCACGTTGACCACGGCCCTGTCCCCGACGAAGCACGACTCGATGCCGTTATGCGCTTGCACCCCGGATCTCACGATCTATATCAAAGAACCCGCACTCATCTCCTCGGTGTCACTGTGCATTGCAGCATTACAAGGACAAGGCTCGTCTGGACGGGGCACAGCGCCTGAGGTGCCTCTTCATGCTACAAATTACAGGGACAGAATCATCCAGTCGGGCCTCATCTCCGTCTCCAGGGGTAGTTATAGACAAGGTTACGGAAGTATACAGTGGGTTTGCATTATAAGCTACTTCTGTCCTCGCGGGGAGAAGCTTAACCTTGTGCTGACGAGGCTAGGGGCTCGTCATTTTACCGGATTTTTCTTGTACCGCGTTATTCTTGTTCCATGCACACTGTCAGATCTCCACTGCAAATCCGTCTTCCATACACCTGCAGCACTGACTTTCAGCCAGGCAACCTCCTGTAAGTGCACCTGAACAAGAAACTTGGACAGCTGGCTTCCAAGCAGTGTCCAAGCTGATGCTGGGAAACAGTGTGCGCTTTGCGGTACTGTCCCGCCGCATTCCGACCATCGGTTCAAAGTTCACAACTACTACGATGATGAGCATGCGGTCGCAAGTCGTCAACAGCAGATATCTCATCCAGTCTAATTCCTCTCTTGAATGCTTCTATCCTTGGATATTGAGCGATGATTGGTGAAATACGAATGGGTTCTCACCACGGTTTCCACCTACCACTCGGACCTTGCCATGTCATTAACTGTGAGACATTATTGCGTACTGCAATCATCGTGCATGCAATGATCTTCGTTTCAAAAATAAGTGCAGATGGCGGGAAGGGACCTCACTACCGCCTCCTCGGTCAATGATTCGGATCGTATGCTCGGTATTAACCATCTCATACCTTTATTTCACGCGCAACTATGATTTACTGCTGCGTGGACGTCTACTCATATCGAGCTTGCATTTGACCTTCTGTAGTAATGGTCGTGTGCCAGTCCGACGTATCGCGTGTGCAATCCGTCTTAGATCATTCCTTTTGGCTGTTCGTTGTCGTCTTTCTCCGCCCCGTTTATTGGCATGCGCCTTCTTTCGAGCTATATCTGGTTCGAGGCCAGACTGTCTGCAATTACTTGGAGTGAGCGCATTTATGCCAATATATGCGCGTGAAATCAGCAAAACTAACTCATCATCTTGGTTGACAATTCATTAAATTCGTCATAACAAGACTTACTTCTTCGCATAGATACACTATTATATTATCGCTGCAGTCCTTGTTGGGGAAGCTGCTCAAGGTCCACCGCATACAATGCAGAATTAATTTGCGGTTCCTGAAGATCAATGTCATAAAGTTACAATACGACACACTTGCAGCTTATGATTATTTTAGTGCGACCCTCAATCAATACCATTTGTTTCTTCATTTTAGATACAAGATGGGATCAATCTATCTGATCTAGCCGCACCAGCTCTTTTGACATGTTGTACGTTCCTCAAAATTCATCATGTAAAGCGGATTGAGGTTCATCCAATGGATCTCTAGCTCTAGCTCTGTCCGACAGGGTGGGTATATATCCTTTGTAGGATCCCGGCAGTGTCCGATGGCAAGACAACATTGATTTCACCGGAGTGGTCCCAAGTTGTTCCATAGGGGCTATCTCCGTACACACGCTTATAAATCCCCACCTTTGATCTTAACTGCGATGATATTTCGTAGCCGCAATAGCTATGCATTCAGATTCTGCACCCCGTGCCGCGAGCGCATAATACACTATAAGCGTCGGTTTGTGATGCGACCAAGCTCGTTTGCACCTGTGCCTGCAATACGTTAAGCTAGGCGCTGATCCTTGCGGTCTTCTTAGCCTTTCTTTGTCCGCATCCTCTCGTACACGTTCGCCTCTAAGTAGAGCTCTCCTATCGGTGATAACGTTGACAAGAAGAACATTGCTTAGCCCTGACCATATCTCTTTAAGGGGCGAGTTCTTCCGAGTGGCGCTCATCACAAGTAGTTTAATCTCCCGTTGCACGCCTCGGTCAATTCTCAATCTCTAATTGACAGTGCAATGTGTTACGGAAACAACTGTTCTCGATCCGTGTGGTCGCACTCACACAAGTCACCCAAGATCAGATGCAGTTCAGTTCTCAAACTGGCTCTCTCTCAGGGTCGGCTAACATTCCGCAATGGCAGACCGCTCGCCGCATAGATGCTTTATTCTTGGACTCCGAGCATCTCACGTCACAAGCGCGCCGACGCGTAATATTAATCGAAACCGCTCCGGTACGTGCAGCACTTGGTACAAAAGGCGGACGTGTTTCGTATCCCATCTTCAAGCTCTACTCTTCTCCAAGTTGACGTTGAACGCCAAACTCGTCCTTCTCCACTGCTATCACGTTGTTCGGGCTGTCTTGTCTTCAAAGTGCCATCTATGCATCCTCTATGGGCTACAGTGGCTCTTGTCTCTGTTGCGACGTCTGGTTTTGCCCTCGCTCAGAGAGCCCCACAGAATTATATCGTCGCTAATGCGAACCTTGCGCCGGATGGATTCAACCGCTCGTGTGTTCTTCCTGTTATCTTGCGAGCCGAGCATCCGAAGTCAATTCCTTCCTTCTGACAGGACTGTAGTCATGAATGGACAGTTTCCGGGACCTCTGATTTCTGCTAACGCTCCGAACGCACACTTTCAGGTGCCTTCCATAAAGTCACTCAACCTATTTAAAGACCGTCACTGACTTCGATGCGCATGGATCGCCCAGCTCAATATAACGGATCTGCTCACCGATCCGACTATGCGTCGAGCATTAACCATCGTCCGTACTTCCTTTCAATGTTTCTCGGCTGCGTTACCTCATGCTGACGTATTGTACAGCATTGGCACGGTATTTTCCAGGTATGGAGATATGTCAGATTATACGAAATGTTGTTAATCATGAGTTTGATAGCCGCATCAAAATCAGTACGACGGGGTAAGTAGTTTCATTTCTACTTGCTTTCAGTATCATTAACGTTGCTATATGGGGATCGTATAGGTCGCATTCGTCACGCAGTGCCCCATTGTTCCCGAGCATTCATTCTTGTGAGTCTTGGCCCCGCATCCTCTGCAGATGGCGAGCCGCTCGAGCCGAACACGCTCATGCCTCGTTTTCAGATATGACTTCATTGTGCCGAATCAGACTGGAAGTTAGTGCGTCTTTTTCATCCACACTTTGCAAATTACTTATTCAATTCTTTAGCATATTGGTGGCAAGTAGGACGCGCTTTGTGAACGATCCAACAAGCTCACGCAGCTCTTCAGGCATAGTCATTATTCCACTCAGTACTGCGACGGTCTACGGTATGCAAATATTTCGTTCTACTCTCTTCCAGTAATTCTGTTGCTCACTATTCTTTATTGAACTTCAGAGGTCCATTTGTCATTTATGGTAAGCTGACTACTATATTAGCAAAGTGAAAATTTACAAATGCATATCATAGATCCTCATGACCCCTTAAAATACCTCTACGACATCGACGATGGTAATGTGTCTTTTTCGCTTATACTCATTCCGTCGCAACTCATCGCCTGTCAACAGAATCTACCGTCATTACAATAGGAGATTGGTATCGTCAAGTCTCAACCGCCGTATTTCCGTAAGATGCTCTGCCCTTTAAAGTTGATACTGATCATATATCGACTCAACTTATTGATCGTTCAGAAATCCACAGAAAAACCCGCCGTAAGTCATCTAACTATTTCCCGATGTTCCTGCGTGCAAGCTTAATACTGATACTGCACGATACATTTGTCCAGAACGCCTGATTCAACTGTCATAAATGGTCTGGGGCGCTCGGCTAGCGATATCGGTGCTGGTACTCCCAGTCCACTAGCAGTCGTTCGTGCACAGCCAGGCAAGAGGAACGTCTTGTCTTTCGCTAAGGGGACTTAAAAAAATAACTGATGCAAATTTATTACAGGCATCGTTTACGAATAGTTAGCATCAGCTGTTTGCCAGGGTGAGTGCATAGCGTGATATCTCGTCGCCCGTTTCGAAGTTTTGAGAGGCCACCCGCAGATATCTTTTCTCCATTGACCAGCATAACCTAACGGTGATTGAGACTGATGGTGTCGAGACACAGCCGTACACTGTTGATTCAATCCAAATTGAAGCCGGTGAGTAGCCACAACACATTCGAGGTGAAGTTAGCTCAATGTGATTTCAGGACAACGCTATTCTGCAATTGTGAGTTAAGTCGTGCGTTCATGGAAACAACATAGGTTAACAAGCGCACGGACAGCTTACCGCCGACAAACCTGTGGGGAACTATTGTGAGTATAGCCAAATATTATTTTCCCTACCATTCAAGTGTTCAACCGCATATAGGGATTCGCTCTATCCCGGTTCGAGGAGACGGAAACGCGACAACAGTTGGAGGTCCGTATCAGTCGTACTCTGCGTGCGCGCCACCGATAGATTATCTTTCAGGGGTCAATTCCGCCATTCTCCGTTATGACGGAGCGCCCGACGAAGAGCCAAACTCTACTGCAGTTGCCAACCCAGTTCAGCTGAACGAGGCGAACGTCCACGTAAGATCATTTATCCCCTGATAACTTTGATATTTTCTTATTATCATCTTTGTCCAGCCACTCATCAACCCCGGCGCTGTTCGTACCATTATCCCTCGTTTCACCATGAATGTAACTCATGCCTCTTGCAAATAATAATAGCCTGGGCAGCCATTTCCTGGCGGCGCAGACGTCAATATCGAGATGTTCATCAATAAGGTACGCATTCCTTTGTCTACGGCCGTTCCGTATTCAATCAGTTCAATGTGTGTTTACTTTGTCTCATTTCTATTTTAGGACCCGGTCTCTCAAAACTTTACTATCAATAATGTAGCATTTACGGTGAATTATATTCGTAGACTCTGTATATACCCGCTCATTTAACATCAACAGCCTCCTTCCGTGCCTGTTTTATTGCAAATTCTCAGTGGTTCCGTTAACCCCGGAAGCATTATGCCAAATGGTTTGTACAGTCTGTGTATTATTATCACGGTCTAACCTAAAACGACGCTTATTTTCAGGTTCGGTGTATAGCCTTCCACCGAACAAAGTTATCGAGGTAATAATGGTGCCCTTTTCCCATTTGTCAACCTGAGCTTATTCATTTTGCATCTCAGATCTCATTCCCTGGCGCATTTCCTGTACAGTCACTTCTATTCCAATACCTTTTGCCCCGCTAACTCCGAATGTTCCTGTACGCTACTATCACGGAATAGCATCCGGTTGGTCCTTTCTTCGAATGACTCCTGTAACAAAATAACTCATAAACACATGCCACTTTCCGACAGATGCATTTACATGGTCATAACTTCGACGTCGTTCGAGTAGCAGGCAGCTCCGAATACAACTACGTGAATCCTATCCGCAGAGATGTTGTAGGAGTTGGCAATACGGGCGACAACGTGACTTTCCGTTTCGTAACAGATAATCCTGGTCCTTGGTTCCTCCATTGTCATATTGATTGGCATCTGGACGCGTGAGTACCACCTTTCCCAAATAGGATAATATCCATCTTATTGGCTTTTCCAGAGGCCTTGCTGCTGTGTTTGCGGAGGATGCCCCAGATACTGCCGCTGCGGATCCAGTGGGCTGTATGTCTTCCCGCTTATACTCATTGCTAAACTTTATTCACGAGAGCTCGCAGCGCAATGGCAAAATCTTTGCCCATTATATAGTCAACTGGATCCAGACGCCGATCTTCCTGGTTTCTGATTAGACAAAGGACATGTTTGAATTTCTTATAAGTATTATGTACCCGAATGGACAGACGAGGCTTCTAAACGATCGAAATATTTACTCAGTGTGGATCTTGCATGACAGGGTAAAGGCAACTTGACTTCCATGTTCTTCAAGCAAACATTCTTTATGCTTAGTGAGCACAAAGTAAGAGGTTGTTAACAAGTAAAAAGGTAGTAAGCTACATTAGTGTAAAGCATGATTTTACATTCTTGCCTAATGCAACAGTGTAACACATAGTTTATTTATATTGACTTCCCTGAAGAGAATGTTTTAAATTCAAACAGGGCAAGGAAATGGTAGCCTTACTTATGCCTAGTTGTCTAGTCACAATAACTACTGTTGGCAGTGACAAGGAATTACTCAAATATTCTACAATCAGCTCTTCTACTCTTTTGATCACTTGTATGTAGTCTACATGTATGAACAGTGTGGGCAGACTAGTAAGATTATTGATATTGTCAATAATGGGCTTCCAGCAAAAATGACACCATCTTGAATAGTAGTACATTCTTCTCCAGGTACTCCTGGGCTGGTAACAGGTTTGCCCCCAAACTGTTGTACTATCTTTTTCAAAAGGTCATAGTAATAATCTGGCTCTTCAAGTGTATGTAAGGATTGTGTAATTATTAGCAGCATTTTTATCCTAACATACCTTCTACTTCAGAGGCTTCCTAGACTATAGTAAAGGGGTGTTTGGAAGGAACAACTTCTGCACATATAAATTAGTCAAATTTGCAAGGAACTGATCAAATCTGGTAGATGTTACAGTTCTCTACTCTTGTACCTTCAGTTCTGAGGGTTCTGCACCCTTCTGTACCAGAACTCAGGACTTCTGTCCCTCAGAGGCACTGTTTATGAACTATATACATACTGACTCTTGCTACTACCCTTCCTTACTTCATCATTCCATTCCTTTGACCACCCCTTCTTTCTTTGTTCCTTTATCTTTGACCTTTCTTTCTTTCATTCTTCATGGTTTATCATTCTTAGTGGCTCATACTCTCTGAGTACTCTTGTGTAGTTTAGTATATATAAGTGTACAAGATCAGACTGGTCCTATAGTCTTGATCTCATCTACTCTAGGTAGTCCTATACTCTTAGGCTCACTCTATATACTCTACTCTTGTCTCACTCTCTCTCTCTACCTGTTCTGTGAGTTCTGACTACATTCTAGTACTTGTGTTCTGTATTTCTGTTGTGTAGGATAGTTATAGCCTGGGTCCTCTTACTAAGCCTTTGGGTCCCCTCTACACTGTTACTGACATTAGATTAAGACTACCTATTACTACCCTACAACTCTCCTACATTTCAGGCATTAGTACTTACTGTTGTGTTGAT